CCTCCGTGGAAGGGCGGTTCCCCCTGCCACATTCCCCACTTCCGCGGGGGAGCGGCACACCGCCGGCCGGCTCTCTCGGGGGCTGCACAGGTGTTCCTCTTAGATGTTCCCCTTAGATGTTCCTGGTGCATGTTGTCTCTCCTCCTTTATAGTCCTTTTCCACCAATCCCAACTCTGCTACCCACACGCCGAGTACGCTGCTCTCCTCCAATCAGGAGCAGGTCCTACAGTTTATTGGTTGAACTGGAGGCAGCTGTGTAGAAGCTGTTTCCCTTCTCAGCGCCATATTGTGGGAAAGCAGATGCATAGAATAAGTCTTAATTCCAGTAACTTAGTCTAGTCCGAGTTGCTCCCAGTTGCTCCCCACACCATCTGCTCCACTTCTGATCCAGCTCCCTGCCAGTGTGCCTGGGAAAACAGCAGGAGATGGCCCAAATGCTTGGGCATCTGCACCAATCTGGGAGACCCACAGAAAGCTCCTGGCTCCTAGCTTCCACCTGGCCCACCCTGGCCATTGCAGCCATATGAGGAGTAAACCAGCAGATGGAAGATACCTATCTCTCTCTCTCTCTCTCTCTCTCTCTCTCTCTCTCTCCCCACCCTCCTTTCCTTCTCTCTCTGTTAACTCTGTCTTTCAAATAAATAAATCTTTATAAAAATAAAATCCTGGCAATAACAAATATGCTGGCACTCTTCCATTTTTTAATAGTTTATGCTAACAAGAGACATAAATCATATAATCTGAAATACAACCTTGATCCCATGTGGATAGTCTCCCTTTGTTTATTATGTTCCCGTATCAACAGAACAAATTCTCTAATATTCTCTTCCTTATCTGATTGAAAGGGAAAACTATCATAGAGGTACATTAAGTTTTCAACAGCTTATTTCAACAAGAATATTACTTCCAAGTTTGCTGATCAAATGTTGATATGATCAGTATTTTCTTTCAACCAAAGCTGAATAAAAGTGGAAGAGGAATAATTTTTACTTCCACATTCCTGCAAAGCTCAGTCCATGGTTTGTCTCTCAGCCGCATTCCCCACTATGCCTCCCCTGAGTCTGAATGCTGTCTGTGTGGATCTACTGATGGTTTCCTGAAAGCGCCATGCCACTTCAACTTTGTGCCTATGTTCTCTGTACCAATCTTATGCAAGTTTTAAGGACTATCGTGATATCAATATAGAATGCAGGGGCTGGCACTGTGGCGTAGCGGGTAAAGCTGCCACCTGCAGTGCTGGCATCTCATATGGGCGCCAGTTCAAGTCCCAGCTCCTCCACTTCCAATCCAGCTCTCTGCTATGGCCTGGGAAAGCAGCAAAAGATGGGCCAAATGCTTGGGCCCCTGCACCCACATGGGAGACTGGGAGGAAGCTCCTGGCTCCTGGCTTCGAATCAGCCCAATTCTGCCCTTTGTGGCCATTTGAGGAGTGAGCCAGCAGATGGAAGACCTCTCTCTCTCTCTCTCTCTCTCTCTCTCTGCCTCTGCTTCTAACTCTCTGTAACTCTACCTTTCAAATAAATGAAAAAATCTAAAAAAAAAAATTGCAGCTATGAGGGTGCTTCACAAAGTTCATGGAAAAATGGAATTGCAGAGTTTGTTTTGGTGCAAAAATTTTTGAAATTCATGCATAGTTTTTTCATGATATGCATTTTCTGTGAACTTTTTGAAGACCTCTCACATAGGATTTTATTTTTTTTTAATATTTATCTTATTAATTTGAAAGACAGAGTTACAGAGAGAGGTAGATACAGAGAGAAAGAGAGAGGTCTTCCATCCACTGATTCACTCACCAAATGGCTACAATGGCCAGAGCTGAGCTGATCCGAAGCTAGGAGCCAGGAGCTTCTTCTGGGTCTCCCACATGGGTACAGGTGTCCAAACCCATCTTCTACTGCTTTCCCAGGCCATCAGCTGGGAGCTGGATCAGAAGTGGAGCAGCAAGAACTCAAACTGGCGCCCATGTGGGAATGTTGGCACTGCAGGGGGCCTTTAACCCACTGAGCCACAGCACTGGCCCTTATTATACTTTTTTATTTGTGTCTATTGCCCCAACAAAAAAACTGCTTTCTTGGAAGCAGAAGCCATTCATTAGTTTTTTTTTTCTCCCTAGATTCTACCTAAGTGTCCAACACGTACGATATTGGTCAAGATTCTCATGTACATATGTGTGTGTGTGTGCGTGTGCATTTATACACACACACACACACATATATATGAGTACTTCACAAAGTTTGTGAAAAATAAAATTAAAAGATAAACTTATTTTGGTGCAAAAAAAATTTAGAAATCCACATACATACATTTTTCATGAATGTTTAAAAACCATCTCATATGCACAGGTTTCAAAATTTTTTGCACCAAAATTAATTTATTTTTTAATCCATTTTTCCACAAATTTGTTTGAAGTACCTTCATACAGCTATAGACTGCGATATATGAGAAGGGATTTATTAGGGGAACTGTGTCACACCATGGACGATAGGGGTGGGGTGGGAAGAAGTCCCATGCCAGGGACTCTGGTGGCTGCCCAACTCCAAGTCCAAAGGCCAGGGAAGGCCTGGCAAGCCTGGAATTCTCATGTCCAGGAGCAGAAGAGTGACCCTATTCCTAGAGAGCGGAAACCACCTTCCCTTTGCCTCATTCGTTCTATCCAGGTCCCCAGCTGATTGCCTGGGGCCGGCCCACAGTGAGGTGAGATGTCCTCTTGGTCCATAGATTCCTGTGCCAGTCTCCTTACAAACACAGATGCAACGCTTTACCTATAGTTTAGGTGTTCCTAGTCCAGGGGACACATAAAATTAACCATGGCAATACGTTCATTAACTATTTGCGAAATAAGTGAAAGAATGAAAGAGTGACTGATGAGTCATCTTCACAAAATAGATCATCCTTTTAGATGCTAAAAACACCCAGAATAACGTTAGAGTTGAATGGCAAGGGAGGTCCATGAGTAGGTTCCAAGCCTGCAAAGAACTTAGGGAGAGAGATCTGGGCTGATAGGCAAGTCCAAAAAGGTTGAAGAGCGTGGGCTAACCAGAAGCCGTAAGACTTGATGGAGAAAAGGGTTTTGTATCACTGTGGATAAAAGCACAAGGGGAAATTATCTGAATGGCAACACCGCCTCCTAGTGGCACTTGGGATAAAGGTCTCTACAGTTGATCTTAGCCAAAGGGCTGAGAAGCAATATAAAGGTCTCCACACCAAAGCATCTTTAAAGAACCTTGTCTTGTGTGGCTCTGGACTTTGGACTGTGTACCACATACTCCTTAGTTTATCCAATGTAACCCTCACAACAACCTCTTGTAGAAAGATACAGCAGCATACAGCTTAGGAGTTAAACATAAAGACTCTGGAAGCCAGGCTATCTGATTCTCTGCTTCATGCCTCTGCCACATACTAGCTCTGTGATGTCATTCATGTTACTGAAATTTTCTGCATTATGGGAGCACTTCAAAAAGTTCATGGAAAATGACAGTAGGGGTGGAAGCTGTGGCACAGGCGATTAAGCCACCGCTTGTAACACCCACATCCCGTATCAGAGTGTCAGTTCAAGGTCCGGCTCCTCTGCTTTGGTCCAGCTTCCCACTAATGCATTCTGAGAAGCAGGGGGTGGTGGTTCAAGTGCTGGGGCCCCTGCTACACACATGGGAGTCCCAAATGAAGTTTCAGGCTCCTGGCTTCAGCCTGGCCTATCCCTAGCATTTGGGGAGTGAACCAGCAAGTGGAAGATCTCTCTCTTTGTCTCTCTCATCTCCCTTTCAAGTAGATGCAAATAATTTTTTAAATTACTTAAAAAATAGGGACTGCTGTTGTGCCAGAGTGGGTCAAACCACCACGTGCAATGCACGCATCCCATATGGGTACTGGTTTGAGTCCCGGCTGCTCCACTTTCAATCCAGCTCCCTGCTAATGCACCTGGGAAAGCAGCAGAGGATGGCCCAAGTGCTTGGGTCCCTGCACCTATGTGGGAGACCTGGAAGAAGTTCCTGGCTCCTGGCTTAGGAGTGGCCCAGCTCTAGCCATTGTGACCATTTGGGGAGTAAACCAGCAGATGGAATCTCTCTCTCTCCCTGTAACTCTTTCAATTAAATATATAAATCTTTAAAAACAAATAAAATCAACCAAGTTTTGCATAGGAAGCCAGATCTCTAGGAATATTCAAATAGGTCTGATATACCTAGAGCCCATTTTTTTACTACTTTGCCCACAGGCACGAGGAAACCAGTTCATTTTCTGAATTAGACTAATTAGCAGCTGACTAGAGAGTCTAGTCTTTCCTTCCTTTCCTACTATTATTGTAAAAAATAAAATTTATTCAGATGATGGTTTTCTTTTTTTTAAGATTTATTTTATTTATTTGAAAGGCAGAGTTACAGAGAGAGAGAGGGGTCTTCTATTCGTTAGTTCACTCATCAGATGGCCTCAACAGCCAGAGCTGTGCCAATCTGAAGCCAGGAGCCAGGAGCTTCTTCCAGGTCTCCCACGTGGTGGGCCATCTCCTACTGCTTTCCCAAGCCATAGCAGAGAGCTGGATCGGAAGTGGAGCAGCCAGGACTAGAGCCACTGCCCATATGGGATGCAGGCACTTCAGGCCAGAGCTTTAACCTGCTGCGCCACAGCGCCGGCCCCATCAGATGATGATTTTCAAGTGACAGGATACTTGGTCCCCTGTCTTTCCCTCTCAATGTCTATAACTCAGCCTCTCAAATAAATAAATAAATCTTAAAATGAAAAAAAGCCCATCTTTGTACACAAACAAGCTAATAATATATTTTTTTAAATGATATGTTACTTCTAAACAGCCATAAGGTTAGCATGGAACATCTTTTTCACTTCATTCCCTAAGTCAGAACGTTTCCAGCCTCGTGTCTCCGGGGATCCTTCCAGAATAGACAGGGACCACAACAGCGGTGCCCCTAGTGCTCCCGTGGCCTAGGCCAACCCTAAGCAGGAACTACAATTCCCAGCAGCCCCAGCGTCGCGGGGACGCGGCCCAACGCGCCTGCGCAGTAGTGGGCGCTCGGGTCGTGCCGTTCCCGCCAATTCTTGCGGTAACCCTGCCTGGACCTGGTTCTGCGCTCATGGAGTCGTTTGACCCAGCCGAGCTGCCCGAGCTGCTTAAGCTTTATTACCGGAGGCTGTTCCCCTACGCGCAGTATTACCGCTGGCTCAACTATGGCGGAGGTGATGGAGGCGGGCGGCGGGGCGGGAATTGGTTGCAAGCGGGGGTCTTAGAACGACCATAATGTGCCGCCTGCGCGCCGAGCGTCGCGCCGGAGCCTTCCCACCGCTCTGCAGTGGGCGCCCCCGAACTCCCATCCCGGGTGTGAGCAGCTGGCGACCCCTACGTGGTCGGGCGCACGGCGGGAGCGCGTTACCGGGTCGCAGCAGGAAACTGCGGAGGCGTGATCTGCCCGGGACGGAGGCGCGCCTCCTGGGGAAGTGCAGCGGAATTTATTCGTGCCCACCGAGGAGAGAGAAGTGACATTACAAGTTTTAATATCGCTTATCCCTCGTAAATGTGGGATGGTAAACCTCTTCAAATTAGGGACTAGGTCCTGTCTTTTTTTTTTTTTTTTTCACCCCTAACACATTGTGGGGCATCTTCTGATGGATTGATGTCATAATATCCAGAGCTGACTGCAGCACCGAATTGACTAAAATGCGCACTTGTTTTGCAGTGGTAAAGAATTACTTCCAGCACCGTGAATTTTCGTTCACTTTGAAAGATGATATTTACATTCGCTACCAGTCCTTCAACAACCAGAATGACCTGGAAAAGGAGATGCAGAAAATGAACCCATACAAGATTGATATAGGCGCAGTGTATTCCCACAGAGTAAGAGAGCTCTTCTGTGTTTTGTGGCTTTGTTTTGTAAACCAAGAATGGGTCGACGCGCCCAGCGTTTTTAGATTAAGTTTGTTCTAGAGTGTGGAGAGCCGCGGCTGTAGCCTGTTTGTGTGCTTTGGCTTGCTGTGTTGCTGACTGGAAATCTTCTGGAAGTGATTTGCTTGCATTCTCACTGGGACAAAAAATTGAGTTATCTGGTTGAAAATCGGACTGGGGAGGTCGTGTGGTTTAAGAGCAGGCAATACTCATAAAAGAAGCCTTCGCTTCCAGCACTGGAGGTGTTTTCGATCATCTCTCACACTTGTACCCATTCCAGTCCCTTTGACCTGGCCGTGGTAGACACCTGAAGTCCAGCTACCGCTGCCAACATCATTCCTCTCACTTGCACTACTATAAAATCCTCCTCCCAGGGGGTCCCTGGAGACTAGAGGCCGCTGTCAGCACAGCAGCCACAGTGTCCCTGGTCCTCCTAAACCAACGCAGATTTTCAGATTTTCTGCTCAAAACCACCACGTCTCGTCCACCCCCCCGTTTCACTCAGACTAGATAGCTCCTCTCTCTCCTCTCCTCACGCCCCTCCTGGCACACTGGCCCTTGCTCAGGGCATTTCCACTGCCAACAACCCATTTCCCCAGATCACCACTTGGTTTATTCGCCCACCTCCTTCCAGTCTGACCCACATAGCCCCTTCTCAGTGAGACCTTCTTCATCCTGTCACTGGACCATCCTGAGTGCCTAGAATAACACCCACCAGAAAGAGTACACCATAAGCATTTGGTAAATGAATGAGCAAATTAAAATTTTCTTCATTCCCCTCCTTAAGCATATACATAGGATAATAGCTTCTTTATTAAGTTTTTTACGTGTTATACGGTTATCCATGTCTGTGGGAGGTTAGTTGCAGAACCTCCTGCAGACGTTAAAATCCCTGGATACTCTATTGTCTTACGTAAAATGGCATAATGTTTGCATATAACCTACACATGTTCTCCTGCATACTTTAAATCATCTCTAGATTATTTATAATACCAACTATAGTATAAATGCTTTATAAATAATTGTATTGTTTAGGGAATAATGCAAAAAGTCCACATATTCAGTGCATACGCAGGTTTGTGTGTGTGTGTGTGTGTATGATTGTTTTTTAATCTGTATTTTTTGTTGTTTAATCTTTTAATAAAATGTAGAAAGAAAAACTGGTTTACTCTACTGGTTTCCTCCCACAACAGTCAGGGCTGTGCCAGGTCAAAGCCAGGAGCCCAGAACTCATTCTGAGTCTCCCATGTGGGCAGGGTCCCAACTACTTAAGCCATCACCTGCTGACTCCCAGGGTATGCATAAGCAGGGAGCTGGAATTGGAGCAGAGGTGCCAGGACTGGAACCAGCACTCCAGTATGGGATGCAGACGTCCATGCTGCAGCTTGACCCGCTGTACCACAACCTATCCCAGTGGCAGTTTTAAAAGTTCTTCTGTTACACTTTTCTCTACATTGCTTTTTTTCTATTTTCCCCCTGTCTTTCATATTAGAGGCTTGCCTCAGATGTCTGGTTATTTTTTGCTTGCTGTTCATATTTAAGATTGGAGTACTAAAAAGCTGGCTAGAAGCTCCATACAGACATCTGTGATTTCTCTGCTGCAGGGGTGACCTGGCTAAACCGTGTTATTCTGGAATCTAACGTGAATTTCTCTAAATCTTTGTCAAAGAATGAAAACTCCATTAGTACAGAAATATTTGTTTTGATTGCTGATCTATACCTTGAGCCTAGAACAGTGCTTGGCCCGTCTGGTCAGTTTCTTCAGAGAAAAATCTTCCAGTCTCCTGCCTGGGTTGACAGTGGAAAGGTATGGAAGTGGAGCTCCACATTCCTCATATAGAAGTTGAACCCCCCTAATAGCAGGACAATACACTCTTGTTCAGCTGTGCCTGTTGTCCCCTCAGCCTGGAGACTGCTTATGCTGTCCAGATAATCAGGCGTCTTCTGCCATTGACACAGAGAGCAGTCACCTGGCTCTGCAGGGATCTGGGGGGCATCCTGCTTCTTAAACAGGCTTTGAATCAATCTTTTTTCTAATCTCAGCATCACCACCACACAAATGCTTCCTCTTCCAGAGACACCTGGTATTGCTACTGCTGAGCCTCTCCAAGTTCTCAGGTGTAAATTGGTATCTCTTTCTTTACAATTCAGCTTTCATGAGTCTTAAGTTTTCTTCCTGAGTTACAAAGTTATAAATTTATAAAACATTCTGGTGGTAGTATCTCCTCTCTGATTTTTTTAAAAGCCTTATGCCTTAAAAAAAAAAAAAAAGAAAGAAAAAAAAAAAGCTTTACTCACTTTTGTAGGGGTTTGAAGAGAGTAGAATAAGTACCTATATTCAGTCCACCTGCTTTATCTGGTAGACCATAGCCTCTTGATAATAAACCTTGGTTCAAACTACCTGGGGAGATTTTTTTTGAGTTATTGAAAAATTGAAGCACCGGCGCTGTGGTGCAATGGTTTAGTTAAAGCCCCAGCCTGCAGTGCCGGCATCCCATATGGGTGTCGGTTCATGTCCTAGCTGCTCCTCTTCCAATCCAGCTCTTTGCCTATGGCCTGGGAAAGCAGTGGCAGATGGCTCAGGTGCTTGGGCCCCTGTACCCACATGGGAGATCTGGAGGAAGCTCCTGGCTCCTGGCTTTGGATCCACTCAGCTACAGCCGTTAGGGGAGTGAACCAGCAGGTGAAAGACTTCGCTCTGTCTCTGCCTCTCTCTATAACTCTGTCTTTCAAATAAATAAAATCTTTTTTTAAAAAAGAAATTTTAAAATTAATACATATTTGTTACCTTCGTATAGTACCAAGTAAAAGTCCTTAAAACATCTTGCAATAGGGCATTATCTCTACATACTTGTCCTTATCAGAAACCTAAAAACAGCTCTATTGTAATTTCTCTCAGCCAACAAATATTAAGTGGGTAAAAGTGAAAGCTGTCTTCAATTCTGGATACGTGGGATCCAAAGTAATGCACTTCAGGGCCAGGCGTTTGACACAGTGATTAAGTCACTGCTTAGGATGCATCCATCCCATATTGGAGTCCTGGCTACTTCGGTCCAACCCAGCTTCCTGTTCATGTACGTCCTGGGAGACTGCAGTTGATGGTTCAAGTATATGGGTCCCTGACACCTACGTAGGATACCACAATGGAGTTCCAGGGCTCCTGGCTTCAGCGTGGCCCAGCTCTGGCTGTTGCCACCATCTGAGGAGTGAACCAGCAGGTAGAAGATTGCTGTCAGTGTCTCTGCTTTTCAAATAAAATGAAAATCGTACTTTAAAAAAAAAGTGATGAGGGGCCAACATCCCACATGGGCACCTGTTCAAGTCCCGGGTGTTCCACTTCAGACTCAGCTCCCTGCGAATGGCCTGGGAAAAGCAGTGGAAGATGGCTCAAGTGCCTGGGCCCCTGCCTCCCATATGGGAGACCTGGAAGAAGCTCCTGGCTTCAGCATGGCCAAGCCCTGACCATTGTAGCCATCTGGGGAGTGAACCAGCAGATGGAAGCACCCTCTCTCTCTCTCTCTCACTTTCTCTCTCTCTCTAACTCTGCCTTTCAAATAAATAAATAAATCTTTTTAAACAAAATGATGAACTTGGACATAGACTTGGCATTATATAGTTTCTTCATTTCGTTTTGACCACTTTTTCCACATAGCTAAAAAATAAACTTTTAGCTACATGGCAGCTACTGTAAAAACTAAGCAGTGTTTTGTGTACCTGCAGCCCAGTCAACACAGTACCGTGAAGCTGGGCGCTTTCCAGGCTCAGGAGAAAGAGCTGGTGTTCGACATCGACATGACTGACTACGACGACGTGAGGCGATGTTGTAGGTGAGCCCGGGGGCCTGGCTGCTGGAGCGGGGGACCTCACTGACGGGCAGTAATGGCTCCTCTGCTCCAGTTCCGCAGACATTTGTTCCAAGTGCTGGACCCTCATGACCATGGCCATACTCATCATCGACCGAGCGTTGAAGGGCAAGTATCAGCGGTGTCTGAGCGGGATCAACTGCGAGGCAGTGTTCTCCTCCAAAGAGTAGTCTCTGCGTTTGATAAGTTTCTAATACGTTTCCTTGAAGCACATAAGAGGAAAATAAATTATAAGGATGAAGTTGGAGTGGAAACATTACTACAGCTATTGAACAAGCCAGTTATTTTTTTCCAATTCAGTCATCTATTGAGCAGGGATAGGCACTAGGTACTATTCTAGGTGAGAGAAATAAAAAAGGTAATTTGTGTAGGTTACACAGTCTGAGGAGACAAGTAAGAAAAGTGAGGGTTAGATTCGTGGTGACTAATATGCACAGCGAGGTGTGGGGACACCGAAACAGCAGGGATGCAAGAAGGGCTGGGGAGAGTTTGACTCAAAAGAGACTCCCAGAAAGGGGTGGTGGCAGTCACAGCAAACTCAGGCTTGTATAGAGGGTTCATTGTGTGCCAGACGATGTTCTATTTCTACTCTTTAAATATTCCTAGACCAAGGTTTTTTTGTTGTTTTTTGTTTTTTTAAGATTTATTTATGTAGTTGTTTTGAAAGAATCCTACAGAGAGAAGGAGAGACAGAGAAACAGATCTTCCATCTGCTGGTTCACTCCCCCAAGACAGCCACAACAGCCAAGGCTGGGTCAGTCAGGAGCCAGGAGCTTCTGGGTCTCCCATGTGAGTGCAGGGGACTTAGGACTTGGGCCATCTTCTGCTTTCCCAGCCCATTTTCAGGGTGCTAGATCAGAGTGCTAGAAATGGAGCAGCTAGGACATGAACTGGTGCCCATATGGGATGCCAGCATCACAAACTGAGGCTTTACCCACTATGCCACAAGGCCAGCGCTGTGGCGTAGCAGGTAAAGCTGCCGCCTGCAGTGCCGGCATCCTATATGGGCGCCAGTTTGATCCCAGCTGCTCCACTTTCCGATCCAGCTCTCTACTGTGGCTTGGGAAAGCAGTAGAAGGCCCAAGTGCTTGGGCCCCTGCACCCATGTGGAAGACCTGGAGGAGGCTCCTGGCTTCAGATAGGCATAGCTCTAGCCGTTGCGGCCAATTGGGGAGTGAACCAGGAGATGGAAGACTGACTCTCTCTCTCTCTCTCTCTCTGCCTCTTCTCTCTGTGTAACTCTGACTTTCAAATAAATAGATAAATCTTTAAAAATAAATAAATAATAAAGATAAGTGGTGATGGGTCAGGGACAGATGGAAGTGCTTCTTGGCAGAGGAACCAGGATTGGTAAAGACAGGAAGGCAAGACCATGAGGGACTCAGGAAACCGGAAGCCATTTAGTAGTGAAGAGGAGAGCACATGTAGATAACGGGTGAGACAAATGGAAGCCGGGAAGTAAGCAAGAACTGGAAGTTTATATATTTGTCTTAAAACCTGTGGTTGCTCCCCTCCTCAGAGGACTTTGGATTTAAGCATCGTCTCTGGGTGTATTCTGGAAGGAGAGGTGTTCATTGTTGGGTCTGCGATGAATCGGTTAGGAAATTGTCCTCCGCAGTGCGTTCTGGAATAGTTGAGTATTTGAGTCTTGTAAAGGTGAGGCCCTTTAAATTATAGTTTTATGTGTTTTTGTTTGTTTGTTTGTTTACTAGATGTTTGCAAGCCTGGTATGTTTAGTAAAAAAGAAAATTAAACCATCTTTACAGCATTCACATTCCAGAGTGGATTATTTTACCAAAAGATCAATTTAAGTCAATAGCTGCATTTAAGTATTTCGTAACTTGCTGTAAGTGTCCTCTTTTGTGGCAAAAGGAAAATTAATTTACTTTGCTATTATGTTGGTTAAAGTTAGCCCAGATAGTTACAGTTGTTGAAACTCTACAAAATAGGTTTCAAGCTTCTGTATTTTGACAGAATTTAATCAGTATTTTTGAATTTACACGATCTTAACTATAATAATAGAACACATTAAAGGAAATTTTAAATTATTTCTGTTATATAATATACATGAAGTATTTTTTTTGATGGTTTATTTTTCAGGGCGGTCAAGACGTTAAGAAGAAAGTTCACCTAAATGAAAAAGTTCACCCTTTTGTCAGGTCAGAAAATACTCCACACAGGTTAAGCTGTGTCTCATTTGCCTGCGTGTGCGTGTGCTGTTAGAATTACCATGCCATCAGTTTTCACTGCAGGGTAGCATTTTACAACAGTAACAGCTACAGTTGCTTGAGAGCCTGTTTTCTGCAGCAGTATTCATGAGGGTGCTCTAACATTGTTCCCACTGTCTTTACCATCTATGAGAAACATGACAGTGTCTCCACTTATGGGATGAGAAAAGTATGATTCAGAGAGAGTCTATAATTTGGTGTTACACAGCAAGTCTTTTTTTTTTTTTTTTTTTTTTAATTAATATCCCAGGTTCTTTTACTTAGAGAAGAATTTTTTTTTTTTTTTTTAATTTTATTTATTTACTTGAAAGAGTTACAGAGAGGCAGAGGCAAAGAGAGAGGGAGATGTCTTCCATCTGCTGGTTCATTCCCCAAATGGCTGCAATGGCCAGAGCTGAGCCAATCTGAAGCCAGGAGCGTCTTCCAGGTCTCCCACACAGGTGCAGGGGCCCAAGGATATGAGCCAGCTTCCTCTGCTTTCCCAGGCCACAGCAGAGAGCTGGATCAGAAGTGGTGCAGCCGGGACTCGAACTGGCGCCCATGTGGGATGCCGGCACTGCAGGCGGCGGTTTTACTTGCTATGCCACAGCACCAGCCCCAGCAAGTCTTTGTTAAATTCAGCATTCATGGCCCGGTCTGCCTGGCTCCAGAGCTCATGTTCTTCCATTTAATTCACTACTTCTCTAAGACAGCAGAAAGAATGTTGCATTAGGAGTAAGAATCCCTATTCCACCTATGACCTTGATGAAATATTGGAGCCTCCATTTCCTTGTCTGAGGAGAACCTCACCTGCTCTCAGTCATGGCAAAGACTACTGAAATGTTAGATGAGAAATACAATTTGCAAGCACTATAATTATTGAGATGTTAAAACAAGCAATCAGAATATAGACTGTATCCCCACAACCTACTACTCATGTCTTTGTTTTTGTTTTAAAGATATACTTATTTATTTATTTGAGAGGCAGAAAGAGAGAGAGGTCTTCCATTTGCTGGTTCACTCCCCAAATGGCCACAATGGCCTGATTTGAACCAATCCAAAGCCAGGAGCCAGGAGCTTCTTCCGGGTCTCCCACGTGGGTGCAGGGGACCAAGCACTTGGGCCATCCTCTACTTCTTTCCCAGGCTATAGCAGAGAGATGGATCGGAAGTGGAGCAGCCAGGACTCAAAATAACACCCGTGGGATGCCAGCACTATAGGTGGTGGCTTTACCTGCTACGTGAAAGCCCTGGCCCCTACTACTCATGTCTTATGAAGTCCCGGCGTTGGTCACTTTCTACCATTGTCGCACAGGGGCTTGAGCCATCATCTGCTGCTTTTCCCAGGCCATTAGCAGAGAGCTAGATCAGAAGTGGAGCAAACTGGTGCCCAAATGAGATGCCATCATTGCAGGCAGAGGCTTTACCTGCTGTGCCACACCACCAGCCTGTTATACAACCTGGATACCTGTTCTTTTCCAAGTACTATGCTGGGGTCTTTTTTTTCTCATGTAACACTCATAACCCTGCAAAGAAATATATAATTCTGATTTTAGCTGATTAAGTTATAGAATTTCTCTTTTTACTTGTTCAGTATGTTTAGTGGTGAATTAGAAGTCTTTGAAAATAGAATGGATTAAAATTATATCTTTGCAAAAAATGATGAAGAGAGGGGAGAGAGGGACAGGGATGAATGGGGGGAGCAGGGGAGTGAAGGAAGTGTGGTTGTCTTCCTGGAACCGTACCTATCAAATAAATAAAATCTGTTCTCTTCATTTTAATAAAAATTAAAAAAAAAATTCCAGAAATTCGGTAAAAATAAGCATAGCCTCCCACCCAGTGGCAATAATACCTGTGTCGCATATGTAATGTTAAACAGTGTTGGGACTTTGTTGTCATTGTTGTTCCTGCAGAAGATCCATAAACATAATTAAAAAATACTTTGAAGAATATGCCTTGGTTGGTCAAGATATTCTTGAAAATAAAGAAAGCTGGGATAAGATATTAGCCCTTGTTCCTGAAGATATCCTTTCCTGAGACTATTTCTAGTTGTATTTATCTGTGATATGCATTTTGCTTGCATATTCTCTTACGCTTATTCCTGTAAATTTAACCCTTATTGCTCAAAATATCTCAAGTGTTTCTGCCTTTTTATTTTTCTTTTATTTCTTTTTTTTTTAAGATTTTATTTATTTGAGAGAAGGAGGTCCTCTACTGGTTCACTCCCCAAATGGCCGCTAAGGCCAGACCTGGGCCAATCCAAAGCCAGAGCCTAGGAGCTTCTTCCAGATCTCTCACACAAGTGCAGAGGCCCAAAGACTTGGGTCTTTGCTGCTTTCCCAGGCCATAATAGAGAGCCGGATCAGAAGTGGAGCAGCCAGGACTCAAACCAGCATCCATATGGGATGCCAGCACTGCAGGTGGCAGCTTTACCCGCTACGCCATAGCACCAGCCCCACCTCCTCTTTCTATCATCTTCCTGCAGCACAGTCAGAAAGAGGATCATTTTTATAAGCCAGTTTCCTCATTTTGGAAATTGGTCCTAGAATGAATGGCTAAAGAATGTTTCATCATTTAATCAAAATATGTGCAGGCCAGGGAAATCTTTCCCTCTTGCAGCTGCTCTGACATTCTTTCTCTGATGTTACCGCTGTATTTTTACTGGGGAATTCTCTAAGGATATAAATGTTTAACGTTTATGTTTTAGAGGACCTTAGTAATTACTTTCTCAGTAGTTAGAAGTGTTAGAAAACATGATGATCCACACTGAAAACTGAGTTGTTCGTGTATATGCCCTGAGTGGGTGTGTTCCTTAATGATCCATCACCAATTCATGCTGATCTTCAACAAGGCTTCCAGAAGTGTCACAGCTCTCTTCAGCGTTGGGAGCACCTGAAGAAAACAATAGCCAAACATCAGGTATGTTCCACTGAATCTGTGTTACAAATATAATATGGCAATTCTTAGTTAAACTCTGTTTTGCTTAGTCAGCTAATGATGGTTGGAAATCATTTTTTAACCTTCCTCAAAGAAATCTTCAAAAGGTCCTACCAGTCCTCATAATGAGCTTACCTCTGTTTTTAGAATAACACCAAAAACGACAAATGTGCACCCTGGCTGGAGTGGGAGATTATGCTGCAGTACTGTTTTCCACGGCTGGATATCAATGTTAGCAAAGGAATCAATCATTTACTGAAGAGCCCTTTCAGTGTGCATCCTAAAACAGGTACTGTGTGACAACAGTAAGGAAAACTAAAAGGAAAATTAGTTGTTTTTCTGTTTCAGCGAGCATATCACTAGGTGTGAACACACGTGATGTCTGATTAGTAAAGGCTAAAGGATTGCTCTGTCAGCCAATACCTAAGTTAACATTTTGCATTGTTGATTAAGTAGCTACCAGGTGAGTTTCTGCTATGCAAATGTTTTTCAGTTGGGTTTCTGAAAAGTCAGAAAGTGTTAGAATCAGAGTTGGCGAGTACTTCATAATCTCAGGACAACAGGTCTTGTAATACAAAGAAGACAGTGGCCCAGGAGTTTAAAATCACTTGTCCAGAGTCATAAACAAATGTCATATGTCAATGCCAGGAACAGAATTCGCTCCTTAAAGTTCTGGGGCTGGCATTGTGGCATAGCGTCTTAAGCCACTGCCTGTGATGCTGGCATCCCATATGAGCACTGGTTTGAGTCCCAGTTGCTCCACTTCTGATCCAGCTCCCTGCTAATGTGCCTGGGAAAAGCAGTGGAAGATGGCCCAAGTCCTTGGGCTCCTATACGCACATGGGAGACCCAAATGAAACTCCTGGCTCCTGGCTCCATCCTGGTCTAATCCTGGCCATTGTGGCCATTTGGGAAGTGAACCAGCAGATGGGAGCTCTCTCTATCTCTCCATCTCTCTAACTCTGCCTTGTGAATAAATAAAATCTTAAAGAAAAAAAAAACTCAAAGTTCCTTGCATTTTCCACTATGCTGCTTCCTTCAAAATTTTCTTAATAGTTCTGTCTTGGCCAGCACCACAGCTCAATAGGCTAATCCTCTGCCTAGCGGCGCCGGCACACCAGGTTCTAGTCCTGGTCCGGGCGCTGGATTCTGTCCCGGTTGCCCCTCTTCCAGGCCAGCTCTCTGCTGTGGCCCGGGAGTGCAGTGGAGGATGGCCCAAGTGCTTGGGCCCTGCACCCCATGGGAGACCAGGATAAGCATCTGGCTCCTGCTTTCCGATCGGCGCAGCACAGCAGCCGCGGTGGCCACTGAAGGGTGAACCAATGGCAAAGGAAGATCTTTCTCTCTGTCTCTCTCTCTCACTGTCCACTCTGCCTGTTAAAAAAAAAAAAAAAATGCTCATTTACATTTTTCTTAAATAATACTTGATGGACTGAAGTTAAAGTAGATATAAAAGTAGCTATATTCTCATAAAACATTACTCCATCCAATCAAGGGACATATTGTAGAAGTGTATTTAGTTGTGCTCTTTAAAATTGGAAAGCAGAGAGAGAGAGATGGACAAAGAGGTCTTCGCTCATTCACTCCCCCGGTGCCAACAATAACCAGGCTAGGCCAAGCCAAAGCCAGGAGCCTAGAACTCCATCTGGGTCTCCCAAGTAGGTGACAAGGACCCAAGCACTTGAGCCATCATCTGCTGTCTCCCAGAAAGCGCATTGGCAGGAAGCTGGATCAGAAGTGGGGGAGCTGGAACTTGAACCAGGCATTCCAGTATGGGATGTGGGTGTCCCAAGCAGCAATGTAACCACTGCACCACATGCCTGCGGCTAGTTGTTCACTTCAGTGTCAACAGTCCAACCCCACCACTTGTTATGAGATCTTAGACAAATTAACTCTTTTCTGTGCCTCGGTTTCTTCATCTGTAAAGTGGAAATAATAGTGTCTACCTCAGTGAGGTATTTTAAAGATATAAAATGTAAAGTGCTTAGAAAAATATCTGGCACACATTGCATTCTTCCAAACGGCTCGGTTTCCTTTAACAGTCTATAATGACTGCAGTTTATACGCTTACATAGCAGTTCTTCAAACCTGTCAACTATGTGTTTTTAGCTTCTTTTGCTAATGAGCTTAATATTTATTTTATGGGCCGGCACCATGGCTCACTTGGTTAATCCTCCACCTGCGGCGCCGGCATCCCACATGGGCGCCAGTTCTAGTCCTGGTTGCTCTTCTTTCAGTCCAGCTCTCTGCTATGGCCCAGAAGGACAGTGGAAGATGGCCCAAGTACTTGGGCCCCTGCACCTGCATGGGAGACCAGGAGGAAGCACCTGGCTCCTGGCTTCGGGTCGGCGTAACTCCAGCCATAAATCTTTTATGCTTAATTCTAAAGCTCCAATAGGTATCAGGTTTGTGTAAATAATTTTGCTCACTCATAAGTGTATACATTTTCAGGGCATCTGTTTGCCTTTTCTATCAAGTAACTGCAGTCCTGTTACTCTTTCTTCAAGTAACAACTCCTAATTTTCTTAATTATTCTAGTAGCATTCTGGCATTCTGTAGACTCATTTTGAAAATGTGATCTCCCAGGTGTAGATGTTGTAGAAAAAGTAAGATACTGTTAACTACAATCATGCATCATTTAACAATGGAGATACTTTCTGGGAAATGCATCATTAGGCAGTTTTGCGGCTGTGTGAATATTATAGCAGATGAAAGATTGTTTGTGTGCCTTCACTTGTCTCTTCTCCTCTGTCACTCTGCCTTTCAAGTAAGTAAGTAAATAAATAAATATATAAATAAACTGAGAAGGAAGTACGTAGTTAAGATGCCCAAATCTAGCTTCTGATTTCAGCTTCCCACCAATGTAGACCCTAGGAGGCAGCAGTGATAGCTCAAATAATTGGGTTCCTATAACATCGACATGGGAGACCTGGATTGAACTCCTGGTTCAGTTGTCCCAGCCATCATAGGCATTTGAAGAATGAACCAGTTCTCTGTCTCTCTGCCTCTCTATTATTCGAAAGAGATATGAAAGGCACAGTTAATGTGAAAATGTGAAAGTATATTTCTAAATACTGAGGTTTTTTGTGTTTTTTTTTAATATTTATTTATTTATTTGAAAGAGTTACACAGAGAGAGGAGAGAGAGGGGAGAGAGAGAGAGAGAGAGAGAGAGAGAGAGAGAGAAAGGTCTTCCATCCACTGGTTCACTCCCCAACTGGCCACAACGGCCAGAGCTGGGCCAATCCAAAGCCAGGAGCTTCCTCTGGGTCTCCCATGTGGGTGCAGGGGCCCAAGGACTTGGCCATCCTCCACTGCCTTCCCAGGCCATAACAAAGAGTAGGATCGGAAGTGGAGCAGCCGGGACTCAAACCAGCGCCCATATGGGGTGCCAGCACTGCAGGCAGTGGCTCTACTTGCCACGCCACAACACCGGCTCCTTTTATTTTTAATTAATTTATTTACTTGAAAGGCAGAGTTACAGAGAAAGATCTTCCATCCACTGGTTTACTCCCCAGGTGACTGCAACAACTGGAACTGGGCAGATCCGAAGCCCGGAGCCAGGAGCTTCTTCCAGGTCCCCCACATGGGTACAAGGGCCCAAGGACTTGGGCCATCTTCTACTGCTTTCCCAGGCCATAGCACAGGGCTGGATTGGAAGTGGAGTAGCCGGGACTCCAATTGTTGCCTATATGGGATCCTGGCTCCACAGGTGGCAGCTTTACCCTCTATGCCACAGTGCCAGCCCCTAAATATTGTCCTTAACAGATAAGTCTATTTCATCTGCTTGGTTCACTCCCCAAATGGCCACAATAGCCAGAGCTGGGTCAATCCAAAACCAGTAGGATTCTCCGGTCTCCCACAGACGTGGATCATCTTCCGCTGCTTTCCCAGACACATTAGCTAGGAGCTAGATCAGAATTAGAGTAGCTGGGACTCGAACCAGTGCCCATATGGGATGCTGGCACTGCAGGTGGCAGCTTTACCCACTACACCACAGTGCTGGCCCCAGATAAAAATTTTAACCAAAAATAACTTGTAGAAGATAGCCAGTCTATGATGATTTGTATTTTGCAATCATCACTTTATAACTTTTGGTTTTTACAGGTCGCATTTCTGTGCCCATTAATTTACAGAAAGTGGACCAGTTTGATCCGTTTACTGTTCCAACCATAAGGTATGTACCAGATCATTGAACACTGATTTGTGTGTGAGTGCTGCTCTGAATCTGAAGCCAGTTAGATTAGATACCTTAGAGACCAGCTGGAGGAGCATGCTGTATATCGTCATGGAGATGGTTCTAAGGTGAGATGATGATGCCCTGAAATAGCTGCTATACAAGCTATTCCGCTGCCACGTAGGAAAAAGATTTTAAGGTCAAATCAATTTGGGAAATGTGGACTGAAATAGATTATTTCTTTTATATAGGATTTCCCTGTCTTTAGTATGATAATGCACATCAAAACCTCTAAGAAGAGACCATAGTTTTTAGAATATGCCAAATTTAGTTGGCCACATAATTTTTTCACAGAAAATATTGTAGGATTTGTGTTCTGTATCGTACATACACAGGGTAATGCCGACCAGGACCCAGGTTAAAATGCTTATTCTGTTACTTGTAGCTCCATCTGCCGTGAGTTAGATGCCATTTCCAACAATGAAGAGGAAAAAGAGGAGAATGAAGCTGAATCAGATATCAAACGTAGAACCAGAGGTTGGTTAATATATTGAAACTTCATATGATCACAGGCTTTTTATTTTATTGTTATTATTTTGTAAAGATTTATTTTATTAGAAAGGCAGAGTTACAGAGAGGGAAGGAGAGACAGAGAGAAAGATCTTCCATCCACTGGTTTATTCCCCAAATGGCCTCAGTGGCCAGGGGTGGGCCCAGCTGGAGCCAGGAACTTCATCCATGTCTCCCCTGTGGGTTCAGGGGCCCAAGTACTTGGACCGACTTCTGCTTTCGCAGGCATATTAGCAGGGAGCTGGATTGGAAGTGGAGCAGCTGAGACTCGAACTGGTACCCATATGGGATGCTGGCACTGCAGGTGGTGGCTTTACCTGCTACACCACAGTGCCAACACAGGCTTTTTATATGGATAAGCATCTGTCATTCCAGTCATTAATTCTTGGATTTAGCAGAGGATATGTCAATGTTTTAAGCAATTTGAAAGCAACTCAGTAACAAGTAAGTTTGTAGCAATGTTTCTGCCTTCATCAATTGCCCAAATGGTATTTTTGCATCCAATATTAGATTCAACAAATATTTACTAAGCAATTTCTAAATGCTGGAATCTAAGAACAGTGAGTTGTCAGTTGTTACTGATAATTATCTAACTCAGCATCTTAGATTCAATAACTATTTATTTCACACCTAGTCTGCATGCAGTACTTATGTTCTTTATTTTGGATAAATCCAGATGGGTTTTATGGTAAATATGTTTAAGCTGTTGACTGCATTGTATATTCAAGAGTTTGAAGGAGCTGAGGAATCTAAATCTCCCTGCTACTCGCAGTTAGATCTTATACTAGCACCCAAAAGACGCTCTGTAGCAGTAGAATCAAATAGCACTTTTTGTAGCGATGGGAATGTTATGTATTCCACTGCCTATTACGATAGTCACTAGCCACATGTGGCTTCTGAGCATTTGACATGTGCCTGGTGTGACTGAGAAATTTTTAATTTTGCTTTCACTTAAATAGCCAGAATGGGATGCTGGCAATTGTACGGTACAGATATGTGGTCTGTTAGATCTTTTTTACTCAAATATTACTAACCTCTGTTAACATCCAACGCCTAATGTTGCTTCAGCCACTCCAGCTCTAACATGATACCAAAACTGTGGCTGGCATTGTGATGTAGCAGGTTGAGTTCACCATTTGCAATACCATCATCCCATATGGTCAAAGATTCAAGTCCCATCTGCTTCACTGCTGCTGCAGTTCCCTACTAATGTGCCTGAGAAAGCATGGAAGACGGCCCAAGTACTTAGACCCTGCCACCACATGGAAGAACCAGAATGAGGCTCCTAGCTTCAGCCTGACCCAGCTGTTTGGGGAGTGAACCAGCAGATGGAATATTCTCTGCCCCTCTTTGCCCCAGTCACTGCCTTTCAAATAAATAAAATATTTTTTTTGAAGTTCAGTTTCAGAATCATCTTCCCCTCAACCCCATCCCTCCAAAAATCCACAAACTTAGAAGGAATGACCTCAGATTTCTAAATAACAGAGAAAATGCTAATTTGTTAAATGTAGTTGTCATTCAAGAGCACAGAAGTCAGAATTAGGGCAAATGGCTGCTACTGTTTGCATTATGCACCTGTTAGCGCTAAATTTATTATTTATGTGTTTGAAAGGCGGAGCAACAGAGAAAGATTTCTGTCCTCTGGTTCACTCCCCAAATGACTGCAACAGCCAAGGCTGGGCCAGGCTGCAGCCGGGAGCCAGAAACTCACTCCAGGTCTACCACATGGTGGCAAGGGCCCAAGTACTTGGGCAATCCTCTACTGCCTCCCCAGGTGCATTAGCAGGGAGCTAGATGGGATGTATGGCATCCAGGACTCAAACTGGCCCTCCAATATAGGATGCCATGTTGCAAGTGGCTGTTTAACCCACTGTGCCACAATGCCAGCCCCTATTTTATTCTTTGAATAGTATGTATTTATTACTTTAGCACAGCTTTTCAAGCTGAATATTATCTTTGTGAACATCTTTTTTGTTTTACTCAAAGTTTTTAAGGAGACAAGTTTGGTTTCTTACAAGGAAAAACTTATTAGTAAATACAACTGCAGGAATAAACCGAATGGCCTGTCATTTCATGTATTCATAAATAGGCAACTCGCTGCTAGTCTGGGATGTTTTAGAACTGATGGACATTGGAATAGATGACATGTAAATTCCTTATTATCTGTTTAGTGCCTATGATTTTAAGCCTTTGCCCTTTTCACAATAGTTCTGTTTGCTCTTTATATTCTTAAATCCTTAATGTTCTCCAACCTCCACTCTGTTCTAATTGTGCCTTTTTCTAAGATCCAACTCATAATCCACCTTAGTCAATATGCATGGATTCTTTGGATGCCTACAATTACCCCATGCCTGTTTGGCCTTTAATACATATATTGATTTTATAGATAGAATTTTATAGATAGATCTTGTTATTCAGAGTTAGACAGTGAGAGAGAGAGAGAGACAGAGAGAAAGGTCCTCCCTTCCGTTGGTTTACCTCCCAAATGGCTGCTACAGCCAGTGCGCTGCGCCAATCCGAAGCCAGGAGCCAGGTGCTTCCTCCTAGTCTCCCACGTGGGTGCAGGACCCAAGCACCTGGGCCATCCTCCACCACCCTCCTGGGCCACAGCAGAAAGCCAGACTGGAAGAGGAGCAACCGGGACAGAATCCAGCACCCCAATCGGGACCAGAACCCAGGGTGCTGGCGCTGCAGGCGGAGGATTAGCCAGGTGAGCCACGGCACCGGCCAATATGCCATATGCTTTTATAAAACTTAGAAAATGGGACCAGTGCTGTGTCATGGTGGGTAAAACCACCACCTTCAATGTTGGCATTTCATATGGATGCCAGTTCGTGTTCAGCTACTTCACTTCCAATCCAGCTCCCTGCTGATGGCCTGCAAAATAGCAGAAGATGGACCAAGTACTTAGGCCCCTGCCACCCAAGTGAAGTTTCTGGGTTCAGCCTGGCACAGTCCCAGCTATTGTGGCAATCTGGGGAGTGAACCAATGGATGGAAGATCTCTCTATCTCTCCTTCTCTCTCCATAACTCAGCCTTTCAAATAAATATATCTTTAAAGATATATCTATTTACATTTATATATATATGTAACTTAGCATAGTACTTAATATATAATATGTGGGCAGAAAATATTTGTTTAAATAATTATTGACTGTTATATCTTCCAAATGGTAAAAAATATAAACCTCATCCAACGGGCTTAGAATCTTGAATTAAAAGCTCAAAGTACCATATAGCTGATCCCAAAATAAGCTGTTTCTTTGGTATAAATTTATTCATTACATGAAAATTCATTACATATAAAGTTAGAACAAAATTGTATATACTATCATAATTGCCACAGCTCAGATATTCATCCTTAAATATTGTTGTCAAGATGGTTTTTCCAATCTCAAGTAAACCCTGTAATTTTTTTAAGATTTATTTATTTGAGAGGCAGAGGGAGAGAGATCTCCCATCCACTGGTTCACTCCCCCAAATTCCCACAACAGCCAGGGCTGGATCAGGCCAAAACCAGAAGCACAGAACTCAATCCAAAGTCTTCCAGGTGGGTGACAAGGAGCCAAGTACTTGAGCCAACATCTGCTGTCTCTCAGGGTGTACAACAGCAGGAAGCTGGAGCAGAAACATCATAACTGGGACTCAAAAATACTGATACAGGATGTGGGTATCCCAACCAGCAACATAATCACTGTATTGGCCGGTGCCGCGGCTCACTAGGCTAATCCTCCGCCTAGCGGCGCCGGCACACCGGGTTCTAGTCCCGGTCAGGGCGCCGGATTCTGTCCCGGTTGCCCCTCTTCCAGGCCAGCTCTCTGCTGTGGCCAGGGAGTGCAGTGGAGGATGGCCCAGGTGCTTGGGCCCTGCACCCCATGGGAGACCAGGAAAAGCACCTGGCTCCTGGCTCCTGCCATCGGATCAGCGCGGTGCGCCAGCCGCGGCGGCCGTTGGAGAGTGAACCAACGGCAAAGGAAGACCTTTCTCTCTGTCTCTGTCTCTCACTGTCCACTCTGCCTGTCAAAAAAAAAAAAAAATCACTGTATTATGCTATGTACATTTTAAACATTCTTTTATGAATCAGGTAAGACCCAATGCAGTGCATTTATCACCATTCTGAAGTTTAGTTTTGTTAGTAAAAAGCTATTTCTTGGGGGCTGGCATTCTGGCACAGAGAGTAAAGCTACCTGTGATACCAGCGTCCCATATGGATGCCAGTTCAAGTCCCAGCTGTTCCACTTCTGGTCCAGCTCCCTGCTAATGTGCCTGGGAAAAAAAGCAGAGGATGGCTCAAGTACCTGGGCCTCTGCCATCTGTGTGGGAGAACCAGATGAAGCTCCTGGCTCCTGGCTAAGCCTGGCCCAGCGTTAGCTGTTGCAGCCATCTGGGGAGTAAACCAGTGGATGGAAGATCTCTGTGTCTCCCTATCCTGTAACTCTTTCAAAGAAATAAATAATTTTTTTTTAAAGCTACTTCTTATTAAAGCCAGAGTTTCTAAAGAAGGGAATGGTAGGGCATGCATTTGGCAGAACAGTTAGAGTGCCACTTGGGATTCCTGCGTCCTGTGTCAGAACGCCTGGCTCCAGATCCCAGCTGCGCATCCTGAGAGGCAGCAGGTATTGCCTCCAGTACTCGGTCCCTGCCACACACCTGGAAGACTTGGATTAAGCTCCTGGCTCTTGACTTAGCTCTAGCTGTTTTGGGCATTTGGAAAGTAGACTGGCAAATAGAAGGTATCTGTTTCTATTTTTAAAAAAAGCTGGGGTGGGGGATGTTGAGTGGGGCTTAATAGAGTATGTTGGTCTGATACCAGAAAGCATGACTACCAGAGTAACTGTGGTTTTAGATGCTACAGAGCAGCCCCGTTCAACAGTGACCACATATGCCTACTAAGCACTTGAAATATGGCCAGAATAACTAAGGAACTAAAGTTTTTCCTAATTAATTTTAATTAGATTTAAAAGCTAAGGATAGGGGACTGGCACTGTGGTGCAGTGGGTTAATGCCCTGGCCTGAAGCACCGGCATCCCATAGGCGCCGGTTCGAGACACGGATGCTCTACTTCCAATCCAGCTCTCTGCTATGGCCTGGGAAAGCAGTGGAAGATGGCCCAAGTCCTTGGGCCCCTGCACCCATGTGGGAGACCCAGAGGAAGCTCCTGGCTCCTGACTTTGGATCAGCACAGCTCTGGCCGTTGCGGCCAACTGGGGAGTGAACCATCAGATGGAAGACCATTCTCTCTCTGCCTCTGCTCTGTCTGTGTAACTCTGACTTTCAAGTAAATAAATAAATCTATTAAAAAAAAAAAAAAAGCTAAGGATGAGCATTTGACACAGCACTCAAAACACCACTTGGAGCACCTGTGTCCCACACTGGAGTGCCTAGCTCGAGTCCTAGCTGTGCTCCTGGTCCAGCTTCCTGCTACTGCAGGCCCTGGGAGACAGCAGGGATGCCTCAAGTACTTAGGTCCCTGCTGCCCATGTAGGAGACCTGAATGGAATTCCTCGCTCCTGGCTTTGATCTGTTACAGCCGTTCGGGGAGTGACCCAGTGGACGGAATACTTCTATGTCTCCTTCTCTGTTGCTCTGCCTTTCAAATAAGTAAATTAAATAAAAGATTCCCACTTCAAGGTCCCTGAGTTCAGTACTCTGACTTCTTACTCTACCTTCCTGCTAATGCAGACCCTGGGAAGCAGCAATGATGGCTCAAGTAATTGGGTCCCTGCCATTCACAGGGGAGACATAGATAGCACTCCTGGATCCTGGCTTTGGCCTGGCCCAGCCGCAGCCATTGCCTGCACTGTAGGAGTAAACCAGCAGATGGGAAGAGTAAATCAGTGGATGGAGCACTGTCTCTCTCTCTATTGAAATAGTACTTTAGATATAATGGGTTAAGTATCTTATTAGAATGAATTCTGCCCTTATTTTAATATTTTCTTTGTATTTTTTGTGATTTATTTCTGATAGGCAGAGTGGACAGTGAGAGAGAGAGACAGAGAGAGAAAGGTCTTCCTTTTGCCGTTGGTTCACCCTCCAATGGCCGCCGCTGCAGCCGGCGCACCGCGCTGATCCGATGGCAGGAGCCAGGAGCCAGGTGCTTTTCCTGGTCTCCCATGGGGTGCAGGGCCCAAGCACCTGGGCCATCCTCCACTGCACTCCCTGGCCATAGCAGAGAGCTGGCCTGGAAGAGGGGCTACCGGGACAGAATCCGGTGCCCCGACCGGGACTAGAACCCGGTGTGCCGGCGCCGCAAGGTAATTCTGCCTTTAATATGACTATTAAACTTTTAAATTATTTATGGTTTTCTCATATTTCTGTGGGGTGGCACTATTTTACACAATTCTTACAAGAAAGTCAAAGTTATATTTTCCTTTTATTCTTGCTGCTAACATGCTAATAATATGCTTTCTTCATTCAGATTATAAGAAGACCAGTCTGGCACCTTATGTCAAAGTTTTTGAACAGTTTCTTGAAAACCTCGATAAATCCCGAAAAGGAGAACTCCTCAAGAAGAGTGGTAAGACTGTGCCTCTTCCATTTATTCAGTCAAGTCTTAATGTAGCACTTTAAAGCACCCAACAAATGAGAGATTTCTGAACTCTAGTTTTTGCCTACCTCCCAAAATGTACTATTTTACCAGCTTTAATTTTTTAAGTTTTTATTTATTTATTTTAGAGACAGATAGAAAGATCTTCTGCCTTCTGGTTCATACCCCAGATACCTGCAACAGCCAGGGCTGGGCTGGGACCACAGCCAGGAGCTAGAGTGTCAACCCAGGTCTCCCACATGGGTGACAGGAACCCAGTTACTCAAGAGTCATCACCACTGCCTCCAAGGGTTTAACATATATCTATTGAACACATTTTCTCTGTCAAGGTACTATGACAAGCAAAGATGGATTATACAAAAATGAATTCCATACAGTGGAAAAGGATGGTATGTGAACTCCTTTCAGTGAGCTGCTGTTGGGAATTCTAATCCCCAGTGTCTTGAAATCTGAGTAGGATTTCCATAAGCAGAGATTTGGTGAGATAAGGCTACTGCATACAGAAAGGAGAAGAGCTGTTCACTCTTCTTTTTTTTTTTTTTTAAGATTTATTTATTTATTTATTTGAAAGGCAGAGTTACAGGGGTTGGGGAGGGAGGGAGGCAGAGAGAGAAATCTTCCATCTGCTGGTTCACTTCCCAAATAGCTACAACAGCCAGGGCTGAGCCAAGCTATAGCCAAGAGCATGGATCTTCATTCAGGTCTCCCATGTGAGTGGAGAGTCCCAAGGACTTGGGCCATCTTCTGCTGCTTTCCCAGACACATTAGCAGGATTGGAAGTAGAGCAGCTGGGAACTGAGCCAGCACCAATATGGGATGCTAGCATTGCAGACATCAGCTTAACCCATTACGCCATGACGCCGGCTCCTAGCTGTTCATTCTTGATGGAGCAGCAAGAGCAAAGGCATAGAGGCAGAAAAACATCCTATCACTCTGGAGGTAATCAAATCTATCAGGTAGTAGAGCTAACCTGGAAAAAATTATGTCAGGATGTGAGGAGGTGCAAATCTGAAGAAGCAGGCTGAAGCCAAAGTGTGATTGGCCTTGAATTACTCCAGACTTGGGAGTTCAGGCTTCATTTGCTGGGAACAGGAAAGTCATTAGAGGTTGTGCAGGGAGTGCCTTGATGTGTAGGTTTATGTGGAAAGAAAAATCTGGGGGAAAACAGGATGGGAAAGAACCTAAGAGGCCAGTTGGGCTATTGCCATTAGGACAGTAGCATTGGAGTTTCCAAAAGATACCAATACTGGAACCATCCTTGACACTTGGTAATGATTTAGAAGTGGAAAGGTCTGGGTACTGGGGCCAACGCTGTGGTGTAGCGGGTAAAGCCACTGCCTGCAATGCCAGCATCCTATATGGGTGCTGGTGGTTCAAGTCCCAGCTGCTCCTCTTCTGATCCAGCTCTTTGCTATGGCCTGGGAAAGCAGTAGAAGAGGACCCAAGTCCTTGGGCCCCTGCACCCGCATGGAGACCCGGAAGAAGCTCCTGGCTCCTAGCTTCTGATTGGCACAGCTCCAGCTGTTATAGCCATCTGGAGAGTGAACCAGCGGATGGAAGACCTCTCTCTCTTCTCTCTCTCTCTCTCTGCCTCTCTGTAACTCTGCCTTTCAAATATTTTTTTTTTAAAAAAGGAAGGAAGGGAGGAAGAAAGAGGTGTAGGTATTGTGGTACAGCAGGTTAAGCCTCAGATCGGGATCTGGCAATCCTATGGGAGTGCCTGGGTGTGAGTCCCAACTCTGCTTCCAATCTAGCTTCTTGCCAATGCCCACCTTTGAAGGCAGCAGATGGCGGCTTAGGTAGTTGGGTCCCAGCTACCCATGTAGGAGACCCAGGTGGAATTCCAGGCTTCTGGCTTTGGCCTGCTCCAGCCCTGGTTGTTGCAAGCATTTGGAAGTGAACCAGCAAATGGAAGATCTCTCTCTCTCTCTCTCTCTCTCTCTCTCTCTCTCTCTCTCTCTCTCTCTCTCCCTTTCAAGTAAATAAACATTTAAAAGAAGTAAGGCCCATTGTTGTGGCACAGCACATAAAGCCATCACCTGCAACACTGGCATTCCATATGGGTGCCAGTTTTGAGTCCCAACTGCTCCACTTCTGATCCAAATCTCTGTTTATGTGCCTGGGAAAAAAGCAGCAAAGGTTAGCCCGAGTGCTTGAGCCCCTGCCACCTACATGGGATTCCCAGATGAAGCTCCCAGCTCCTGGCTTTGGCTCGGCTCAGTCTGGCTGTTGTGGCCTCTTACAGAGTGATCAAGCAGACAGAAGTTCTCTAATTCTCCCTCTCACTCTGTAACTCTGACTTTCAAATAAATAAATATTTTAAAAAGAAGAAGCCATAGTAGAGAGATGCAAGGTAGAAAGGACGGTTTCAAGATGAGGAACTGATGGAGTCCTGTAGTCCTGTAGGATACAGCAATGAGGAGGTTCAAAGAGAACAGCAGTGTCAAATGAAGAGCTCTTTGAATGGGAGACCTGAGCGTATGTGTGAGCCAAAAGGAAAAAAGTCGGAATACTGTTCAAGAGATTGATGGGTACGCTAGGAAACAGAGGCAACGTTACAGAAATAGACTCCCTCTCCGCTTTATTTTCTAATTAAATGTGTGATAGTTTAAGGAGTACTGCCTAAGATAATGCTCTACTCAGACACTCAAATTTGTTCTTACTGAATGAACAATGATGACTCTGAACTTGGAAAGCCTTGCTGAGCCACCATTCCAACTGGCTGTATTAAGTCCTTTGTATTCTCGTTGTTCCATACTGGCTCAGCCTAGAATGTGGGCTTCAGCAAATGTGAAAGCAAATCTTCATGCATGATGTGAATTTAATGGAGGCATTAAGCAAATCAGAATGTGAAAATAAATGGGTTTTGTTTTCTTTTCTCTTACTGTCCCTTGATGAAAATATATTTTATTTTAGATTTACAAAAAGATTTCTGAAGACAGCGTGCCTCAAACCAGTGTGGATATCTTCTGTTTTCACCCAACAATCAAGTATTTCTAGAGACATTTTAATAAATATGGCAGAACTGTGTAGGCATCTTCATGCTCAAAGTAAAATTTTCTTTTCTTGAGAAGTAATTTATGTTGAAAAGACATCTTGAGACAACCAAAGGGGAGGGTTGAGCTTCCTGGAAGGAGCAATTAAGGAAAGAATAAGTAGACTGCAGACAACTTGTAAATTTAATATTATACAAAGGTCCTAAGACATCAGATAGAAATGCTGAGTTCTGGGGCCAGTGCCGTGGCTCACTTGGTTGGTCATCCGCCTACAGCGCCGGCATCCCATATGGGCGCCGGGTTCTAGTCCCAGTTGCTCCTCTTCCAGTCCGGCTCTGCTGTGGCCCGGGAGGGCAGTGGAGGATGGCTCCCTGCACCCGCATGGGAGACCAGGAAGAAACACCTGGCTCCTGGCTTCAGATCGGCGCAGCACTGGCCGTAGCGGCCATTTGAGGGGTGAACCAACAGAAGGAAGACCTTTCTCTCTGTCTCTCTCTCTCTCTCACTATCTATATCTCTACCTGTCAAATTAAAAAAAGAAAAAAAGAGCCCAGGCTCTATTAAAAGAAAAAAAGAAGAAGAAAGAAAGAAATGCTGAGTTCTACCAGCTGCCATGTATAGTAAGTAAGCAGTAATATGTCCAAGACTTTCATCTCAGTCCACTGGATACCATCTCTATATTTCTGGGTCATTGAGGGCTTTGTCCTTAAGTCTTTTTTTTTTTTTTTCTGACAGGCAGAGTGGACAGTGAGAGAGAGAGACAGAGAGAGAAAGGTCTTCCTTTGCCGTTGGTTCACCCTCCAATGGCCGCCGCTGCAGCCGGCGCACCGCGCTGATCCGATGGCAGGAGCCAGGATCCAGGTGCTTTTCCTGGTCTCCCATGGGGTGCAGGGCCCAAGCACCTGGGCCATCCTCCACTGCACTCCCTGGCCATAGCAGAGAGCTGGCCTGGAAGAGGGGCAACCGGGACAGAATCCGGCGCCCCAACCGGGACTAGAACCCGGTGTGCCGGCGCCGCAAGGTGGAGGATTAGCCTATTGAGCCACGGCGCCGGCCTGTCCTTAAGTCTTAAGACATTTAAGTTGGGGCCAGTGCTGTGGCGTAGCGGGTTAAGCTGCCACCTTCAGTGCCAGCATCCCATATGAGTGCCAGTTCGAGTCCTGGCTGCTCCACTTCTGACCCAGCTCTCTGCTATGGCCTGGGAAACAGTAGAAGATGGCCCAAATCCTTGGGCCCCTGCACCCACATGGGATACCCAGAGGAAGTTCCTGGTTCTTGGCTTTGGATCGGTGCAGCTCCAGTCACTGCAGCCATCTGGGGAGTGAACCAGCTGATGGAAGACCTCTCTCTCTCTCTCTCTCTCTCTCTCTCTCTCTCTCTGCCTCTCCTTCTGTCTCTCTGTAACTCTTTCAAATAAATAAATAAATCTTTTTAAAAAAAAATTGGTTAAGTTGATTAAACCTGGAGTGTATGTTCAGACACTTCCTGATTCGCCTACTGATATTTTCATTGGTCAGGTGACAGCCTTCTTTTTCTTTTTTTAATATTTATTTTATTTATTTGAAAGAGGTAGAGCCAGAGAGAGAGAGGGAGGTCACTCCCCAAATAACTGCAATGTCCAGAGCTGAGCTAATCCGAAGCCAGGAGCCTCTTCTGGGTATCCCACATGGGTGCAGGGGCCCAAGCACTCGGGCATCCTCTGCTGCACCACAGCACCAGCCCCCTGCCCGTCTTTTTAAAATCACTTTTTGGGCTAGCGCTGTGGCTCAGCCTGCAGTGCCAGCATCCCATATGGGTGCTTGTTGAAGTCCCAGCTGTGCCACTCTGATCCAGCTCCCTGCTAATGTGTCAAGGAAAGCAGCAGAGGATGGCCCAAGTGTCTGGGCCCCTGCAACCCACATGGGAGACCCAGGTGAAGCTCCTGGCTCCTAGCTTCAGCCTACCCCAGTCCTGGGCAGCCATTTGAGGAGTGAATCAGCGGATGAAAGATTCTCTCTATATAACTGCCTGTCAAACAAATAAATCTTTAAATAAGTAAATAAAATCACTTTATACTGTGTATCTAAACCTACCAAAAGTTCAACTCGAAAGATATGTTACTAGATTAACAATATTAGGGCCTAGTAGGGTTGTTTTCACAACTACAGCTATCATAGCTCCTAAATTTCCATCAGAGAACAAAGGGGTTACTGTAAAGAGCAGCTTAGAAAAAATAACCCAACTTTATTTACATAAAACCTGTTTTTCTCAGAACACTTGGACTTCTTACATATCTACATAACTTGTTTCTTCCATGTTTGATTTTGTTTGAGGGATTCTAAGTGTCATGTTGCTCTCGCCTGGATTTACAACAAGATTAAACAAGACAGTCCTAGTGTACTTTCTATCTTCTGAGAAGAAGGAGAGGCAAGCTGTCAGGTTGGTGCTGCCGTTTAATGGAAATTTTCCTTCATGTTTCCTTTAACATAATTTCTTTTTTCTTTCTTTTTATATAAAATGGATTATAATACAGTCAGCATGCTAAAATGCTTTGCATTTCTTCAAACTTTTTTCCTGTTTTTTAAAAAAATACTGGGATTATTGACTGGCATAGCTGGTAAAGCCGCCATATAGGCACCAGTTTGTCTCAGCTCCACTACTGATCCAGCTCTCTAAAGTGCCTTGGAAAAGCAGGCGAAGATGGCCCAAGTACTTGACCATGTGCACTCAAATGGGAAACCTGGAAGAAGCTTCTGGCTCCTGGCTTTGGCCTGGCCCTGGCCATTGCAGGCCATTTGGGAAGTGAACCAACAGATGGAACATCTCTCTCTCTCTCTCTCTCACTCCCTGCCACTCCTCTCTCTGTAAGTCTACCTTTCAAATAAATCTTAAAAAAAAGACTGATGTGCCAAGTTCCTCATTAGTTGAGCACCAGGGCCGGTGCTGTGACATAGTGGATAAAGCCGCTGCCTGCAGTGGGTGCCGGTTTGAGCCCCGGTTGCCCAACTTCCAATCCAGCTCTCTGCTATGGCCTGGGAAAGCAGTAGAAGATGGCCCAAAACACTTGGGCCCCTGCACCCATGTGGGAGACCCAGAGGAAGCTCCTGGCTCCTGGGTCGGATCGGCACAGCTCCAGTCATTGCAGCCAATGCAGGGAAGTGAACCATCGGATGGAAGACTCTCTCTCTCTGCCTCTCCTCTCTGTGTAACTCTGACTTTCAAATAAATAAATAAAATCTTTTAAAAAAAATAAAAAATTACTGATGACTTACTAGTTCGTCTTAGTGAGAAAGACTGGTATTAGGCTTCCAACAAGAGACACAATACTCATGGTTTTTAAATTAACACTTCTAATATCAAAGTACTTGGACAAAAGCTGGTATACTTGTCAGTGAACTTATTACAGAACATACTACACTCGTTTGAAGAAAAACCATTCTCAGAGAATGCTAGCTTTCTTTTTCTCTGACTTTCCAATTCACATATACTAAAATGTAGAACCAAAGGGCCTCATCCCCAAACTTGGAAATGTAGAAATAAGCCCAGAGAAAAAGAAAATACATCCTTAGGCTAGTGACTTCAACACAGAGTTAGGGAAACTCAGTGTTGGGGAGGAAGGGGGGACGGTCCCTGTAGGAGGTCTGAGGAGATGGCTATTTCTAGTCCTGACTGTAAACAGCAGAGATCGCATATTTACTTCGCTAGAAATGAATCTTGTCTACAACTTCAATAGTAACTAACATTTGCTCAGGCAAATGACATGTATTACCTAATCCTCCTAGTGGTCCCCATTTGACATATAAGGAAACTGGCAAAGATGAATCAGCAGGGATGGGGGACCTTCTGCCAACGGCCATTTGGATATTTATGATATTTGCAGGACATACAAAATTATCAACTCAAAAATTATCCTACTCTAGGGGCCAGTGTTGTGGTGCAGCAGGTTAAGCTGCCACCTGCAACACTGGCATCCCAAATAAGCACTGGTTTGAGTCCCAGCTTCACTTCTCCCTGGATGTGCTTGCAAGGCAGTGAGAGATGGCCAAATACCTGGGCCCCTGCCACCCATGTGGAAGACTTGGACAGAGTCCAGATTCCTGGCTTTTGCCTGGCCCAGCCCCAGCTATTATAGGCATTTGGGGGAGTAAACCAGCAGATGGAATTTATTCTCTCTCCTTCTTCCTCCCTCTGGGAAGCTACCTTCCAAATAAGAAAAATCTTAAAAAAAAAAAAAAAAAAAAAAAACAATGTCCACTCTGCCTGTCAAAAAAAAAAAAAAAAAAGTCATAGATGTACTAAATTTTGAGTCCTGCCTGTGGTTCCCTTGGCAGCATAGGCCTACTGGCCAGACCCCCCGCCACCCCTGGAAAGTGAGTTGAGATTCAGATAAAGAAGTCTGACTTCCGAGTCTGTTCTTAATATTTCCACAATACTGCCTCCTGAGAATTTCAAAATTTACCATTCGTAGTAAGCTCAATTTCATTTAATCCTAACCCTCAATTTACTGTGGCAAAGCTGTCAGAAATTTTAAAACAGCTTTCAGGGTATTTTAAATTCCCTACTTCCAGGGCAGGCACTTGATGTGGTTAGGACCTGGCTTGGAACACCTGCATCCCATACTGGAGTGCCTGGGTTCCCATCCTGGCTCTGATTTCTGATCCCAGCTTCCTGCTAATGCAGACCCTGGGGAGCAGCATGTGGTGGCTCAAACGGTTGGGTCCGTGCAAACTATGTGGAGACCAGGATGTAGTTCCTAGCTCCTGGCTTTTGCCTGGCCCAGCCCCAGCTGCTGCAGATATTTGGAGAGTGAGCCTCTCTCTGTACCTTTACTCTTGCCTTTCAAAGAAATAAAAATAATTTTCACTTCTCGCAAAAAGCAGCCGCCAACTGTCTTAAATGGCTTAGAGAATTCAAGGACGTGTTCGCTGCGTCCTATTCCAGGAGAGTATGGGCGTCAGTGGCCCTTGTCTTACCAAAGTGCTGATTTCACATTCTACTTTTCAAGACTGCGTTAAGGACCTGCACTCCTAAAATGGATGTCTAAGGATATCCAGGACGCGCCCAAAAGAGCAGGCAGAAAAAACTGCGAGTGTGCCTGTTTTCCCGGGAGGGGGACACGCTGTAACAACTTCAGCGTCGTGTACTCCAATAGAACTACGTCACTTCTCCTTTCCGGCGCTGTGAACACCACCTCTGAGCCTCTCGCTCTAATTTATGGTCCCCCATCTTCCCGCTGTGGTGTCACGCAGGGAAATCGCGAAGGCGCCTTCCCACAGACGCCAACCGCGAGACTTTGGCGACCGAAAGCCGGAGCCTGCTTCTCACGGTTTCTCACACACGCTCGCGGGTGTCTGAGGGCCGCGCCGAGTTCCGGCCGGACGAGCTCGCCCAGTTCGGAATTCTTCCCTTATTTAGACCTCGCCGCCACCCCGGCCCCAGGCACAACCGGACGGTCACGCAAAGGAAGTGGCTGCCTGCGCCTCCTGACCCGGAATCGGATCCGGGCCCCGCCCCCCGCGCGCCGCGCTGCCTTCTGCAACAGGCGTGGGTCACGCTCTCGCTCGCTCTCTTTCTGCCGCCATCTTGGTTCCGCGTTCCCCGCACAGTAAGTGCTGTCTGCGCCGCTACTCTCTATCCGCAGCCATCCGCCCTTCTTGCAGGCCGGGCCGCCCCTGGGATTGAGAATTCAGGCGAATTGGAGGCTTTATGAGCCCACGGGCTTTCTGCTCGTCCCTGGGCCTCAGGACAAAATGGGGACTGCCGTTGGTGTCGGGCAAAAGCAGGGCATAAGGGCCGCGGGGGCCGTGGACCCTGCGTCCGGGCCTGGAGACATGGGGGGCCGTTGTCGTAGGTGGGCGGAAGCGGAGTGCGAGTGCTGTTGGGAACGGCTTCGTAAGAACCCGGAGGTTACGGGGTCACGGCCTTCGAACCCCTCACACCGTACTTATGTGACAAGCGAGTGTTGGGATTTAGACGCCCCCACCCCCCGCGCCTTCTCCCCTGCTGACCCCCGAAGACTGGGCAGAGGGGAGGGGGTTCGAGGTAGCGTCTGAAGCCCCCCGCGCTCGGGAGCCGGACTGGAATGCCGCCCCTCGGGTGGAGAACGCACTGGCTCCCGCTGGCCTGGTGGGGTTTGGAGTGTGGGATAAGACGAGCCCGGGCCACCGGGACGACCCGTGTTTGCAGTGGGAAGCGGCTCGAGGAGAGGTGATTGGCTTGCCGGAGGGAGTCCTGAGGGTCGCGTCGATTTCTGCCCGTTCCCTGCTGCCTTGGAGGGGCGGGTTGTCGCCAAACTGTCGCGTGACTTGTTTTCTCAGGAGCCCTCCGCGGAGTTCTAGAGGATACTTGACCCTGGGTTAAAGAGGGGACTCCTGCCTGTCCATTGAGGCCTCCTTTTTATTCCCTTCCTTCAGAAATGCCCGGCGAAGCCACAGAAACCGTCCCTGCCACAGAGCAGGAGTTGCCCCAGCCCCAGGCCGAGACAGGTAGGTGCCCTTCGCCCGCCTGCGCATCATTAACACGGACCCTGAGGCCTTTGCTGGGGGAGGGGGAGTGAGGAAGGGGATGTGGGCTGCTGCCACCTTTCAGAGTTAGCTGTCATTGAAGTTGGGGTTGCAGCTTTACCGGGTAACAGCCATCCTGGGAGGATTTCTTCAGGGGGTGGGCTAAAAGATAGTACCCTTAGGATGTGTGGACATTAGGAGCCCCCTAGCCTATTTTGTGATTTAGCCAACTGCCTCAGAAGAGGCTGTGCTGGGCTCAGGGATTCCTGCCTATGAGGACTGGGTCACACAGGCAGGCCAGGGAGACCTGAGCTTTTGAGAAGTTCAGCCAGCAAGTTGGATCAAGGTTTTAGATAGCAGGGCTTGGCACAGTGCCTTCATCACATGTCTGGATGACACGGGTGCTGGTGGTAACCGTGTCCTGCTGGGCCCCAGAGCTCTCCGAAGTCGGTTCGCTTGCCTTATGGGTGGGTGCTGAGATATTTCTGGTGTGCTGGAATAATGCCTGTACTATCATCTGGCACTCGGGATTGATTGAAACAAAGCCTGCCTTTGCCTCGTCTTAGGTGTTGGAAATAGTGGATGGAGAATATGGTGTGAAGGCAGGTTTTGAATTCTATTTAGAACATGTCTCTGTAGAAGACTTGAGGTGGTAGTCTTGCTAAGTCGTGCAGTATTAAATGAAAGGCATCTTCAGGCTGTGACCTCCGCTCCCCTGTGTTTATGGTAAATTTAATATTTCTTCAAGTTCCACCTGTCGCTTAAGGGCATCTTTTGGAGTTAAAATAGAGTTGTTTATGGCTGAAAGCATTGAGGTTCTCCCTCTCCACCTGTCTGATTTTAGCAGCTGAAGGGATTACTACAGCTGCTAAGAGAGGAGGGGGCCGGGAGCTGGGGTGTGAGCAGTGTGAAATACTGACCCACACAGATCTTAAGGAAGAGGGAAATAAAGGACTAGTGTAGATCCTGTAGTTTTAATGCTAGGCGGTATATTTTAGAGATTGTTTCGTTGAACAACTTATTTACAAATGTAGAGAGTGAAGTTCAGGTACATGTAGGGTATTCTGGTTTCAAGCTTTCTAACTATAATGCCATATACTTCGGAAGCAGTCCCCAGACAGTGTTACTTAAACATACATACACCTGAATAGTCTGAGCTTGTGCAGGTTTATAATAAAGCTGTGCTGGCTAGAACACAGGTTCTGTCTGTAGTTAAATAGAATGAATGAAGTAACTAGTTCAGGGAACAAAGCAGGTAAAAGTGTATTCTAATCCTGAGATTTTGAGCTGTCAATTCTCTGGAGAAAAATGGTTGAACCATTTGCGTTTCTACAGTGGGACGCCATAAGAACTTCAGAATTACTGGTTAAGTGAATTTTGAATGCTACTGGCTTTTTTTTTTTTAACACCCCTTCTAGGCATTGAGCATTTGTTAATCTAACCCTGTGTTACTCCTGAATGACAGACAATGGTGTTTTGCCCCTCTATGACAAAACCTTTTACGCAGTTTTACTGTAGTGCCAAGTATTGGTCTGTTTTGAGAGAATGAAAAATAACTTGTCCAAATTAGTGGGTAAGGATCCAGTATATTCTCTCCACTCTAATTCTCTCCTTCCAAAATAGAGCTACAGTCTGGTTTAACAAGTTGGGTTACAATTTCATAATACAGTCCCTACCCTTGTGACTAAGCTGTCTCCCTGGAGGTTTTATTCATCTTTGATTGATGTCTGAAGATCTAACATTACCAAGGAAGATTTGTAGAGACTAGAGGCCAGCCCAATCATGGTTGGTTTTGTTTGTTTTCTTTTTGGTTTTGATGAATAAGTAACTTGGCATAAGGAAGCTAAGGGACTTAGTAAAGGACTAAATTGTACCAGGCACCCATTTCCTAAAACTGTTCTAGCACAGATTTTTTTCCTAGTGGAAGCCTGGAAGTATACACACCCTGATTTTCTGTTTTGTTTTGTTTTGTTTTGTTTTTTTCCGTATTCAGCTCTGATTTGCCATTGTTGTCACTGCGAGTTCCAGTTTTCAGTATCTGTTTCGGTCAGACCACGCTCCTTGGGTGGACAGGGTAGCACAGCTGTTCTTCAGTGGTAGTTCTGTCGACTGTGTGAAATGCTTAGGAGTGGGGTCCGTTTCAGGAGGCAGTTGGAGGGCACAGTGGAACACACTACAAAGCTGTTCCCAGCCTTCTGGGCCTGTGCTCCCTCTTACAGATAAGCTTGTCTTACATTGTCCTCCTGTCCTAAAATAGTTGGTTTATTTTAGTAGAACTTGGGAAGTGTGGGGAGACGAGGAGAGGAATGTATTCTCTTGAACACTGATAGGTGTTTTGGGAAGGTTTGTTGCCTGTCACCTTCATCTAATCCTGTGTGGTGACTCTCAAATCTCAGATTTTAAATTCCAGTGTTCCCTGTGAGGCATGTTGTGCCAAGTTGGGCTGCATAACTCACCTTTGTTTTTGTTTTTGTTTTTTTTTCCTTCCCTTCTTTATCTCTTTTTTGCTTTTCCAACTGTGCTTTTTTCAGCTATGCGTGTCACTGCTGCCTTAGGGCAGCCTGGACCTGCCCTTCCCCCTCCTGGCTCCCTTGCCCCCCAACAGTGCCCTCTGGCAACTGCTAACCAGCCTTCCCCGTTCCCTCCTCCCTCTGCTATTGCCTCAACCCCCTTTGAAGTTCCTTTTCCCCAGTCATCTTCTGGAACAGCCCTGCCTTTGGGAACTGCCCCTGACACCCCGGTTTTCCTGCCAAACCTGATAGGGCCTCCAATCTCCCCCGCAGCCTTAGCTCTGGCCTCTCCCATGATAGCTCCAACTCTGAAAGGTGCCCACTCCCCTTCAGCTCCCTTGGCTCTGGTTGCCTTGGCTCCCCACTCAGTTCCAAAGAGTTCTACTTTTCCACCTCTTAGCTCACCACCTGCAGTTGCTGTAGCTGAGTCAGGCTCAGTGACATCTAAATCAGGCCCCACTGCTCCAGAATCAAAGACTTCTCCTATTCAAATTCCCCCTCAAGGAGTCCCTAATCCGAAAGGTATTGCCAGTGCTCTTCCCTCCAACCTTGTAACCCCCTTGGCATCTGTTCCATCTGGAGTAGCCTCCTGTCCTCAGACACCACCCGCCACTCCCCTGACCATTACTTCTCAGGTCACTTCCTCAGCTCTGACTTCTCCACAAAACCCTGTAAACCTCCCCCTGAAGGAGCCTGTTAGTCCACCTGCTGCCTTACCCTTTTCAACCCAGTCTATTCCTGTGGTAACCTCTTCTCAAAAGACTGTGGCTCCCAGCAGCCCCTCAGTTTTCCCCACCATGCTGGGTTCTCATCTTGGACCTTTACATCCGAGTTCTTCTGTTGGTTCTCCTGTACAACCATTAGGTCAGAGAGAGCCTAATGATCCGTGCACACTGCGTACCACTTCTCTAGAGCCTTCTTCAGGAGCATCTTACCTCTCTCACAGGTCTGCCGTTCCTCCCCTTCCTTCCAGAAATGAGCCAGTGACTACTCTTCCCACAGGAGCTGCAGCTTCCCCTCTGGCTCCATCAGTGAACAAAGGGCCCATAATCTACAGTCCTTCTGACTCCCCAGATGTAACCACTTCTTCACTATCTCCTACATCCCCTTTTGTTCTTAAAGGCTCTCCTAATGCCACTCAGCAGCAGCCTTTTGGAACACAGATTCTTCCTTCTTCAGGAACAGGCATTGGAGAAGCACCCATTTCTTCTGTTGGAACCTCCCCATTTGTGATGACTACTAACCCCTCTACAATTTCTGCAGCACCTACTACCTTTCAGGTAGCTACTTCTGTCTCTTCTCCAATCTCATCTGGTCCAGTAAGTGGGAAAGAACCAACTTCCCCTAGCGCCATGGTTGCGGCACCTGTGGCTCCCCAAGTGCTTGCTCCTACTCAAGCAATAGCTGGTTTGGCAGAACCAGTCTCTCCTCAGCCAGTCCCTGAAGACTTCAAAAATCTCCCCACTTCAGAGTTGGTAAAGTTCCCAACCCAAAAAGATCTTCAAACTATATCATCCTGTCCTGTAGGAGCCCCTGTTTGTCCAGCCCAGGCAGGACTCTCCACCGAGAATGACCCTACTCTACCACCATTGGCCTTGGCAGCCCCTAAAAATTCCCCTTGTCCTCAAAAGACAGCATCTTCTCTGGACATGCCACTTTCTCCAGAAGCTGCCCTAGCAAAGAAAAGCCCTGTGGGTGCTCTCCCTGTAGATAAGTCAGCAGTTGCTGCTGCTGCTCCTCTAGGTGGTAAATCCCCAGCCTCTATCATTGAGACAGATTCTCACATAAGCACGGACCCTGCTAGTCTGCTTCTCAAAGGTTCTTTCACCACCTCACCCGTGGTTCCATTTTCTTTGGAAAGTAGAGACCCTGTGGCTCATAAAACTCCCACAAGTGCCTCTGCTGTCACTATAAGCAGCCATTTCCCAGAAGGAGCTGTCTCTTCAGCTCCTACTACAAAGGGAACTTCCACTCTTCCTACTTCACCTGTGACTCCTGAAGCCTCTGGAAGTTGCCCTGTGCCTCCTGGCGTTTTATCCTCCCAGACTATTTCTGCTTCTGCAGATGTCTTGGCCCTGGCCCCTGAAATTCCCAAGTCTATGCCCTTTCCCTCTCTTCCCCCAGCTGGGACTTCTCCAGGCACAGAGAAAGTTTATGGTATTTCTCAAACCTCAGCACTGGCTCCTGTGACTTCCTCTCCTGAGGGTGCTGGTGCCTCTGTCACGGCATCTTCCAAGGGCTCTCTGACTTGCCCGGCTGGCTCCCCGTCTCCTTCGGGACCTCTTGCATCTCCTCAGACTAAAACACCTCCAGCTAAGAAGGGGTCTGCTCTTCCTGATGCTCCGGTTGGGAATCTCTCATCTGCTGTTCCTTCAGCGGAAACTTCCTCTCCTCCAGAGGCCAGTCTGTCTGTGCAAGGCCCCAAAAGCTCACCAGCCAAGAAGCAGTCTTCTATTTCTCCATCCTCCCAAGAGGCTCCCACTCCCCCAGCTACCCCATCCCTTAAAGGAGTCCCTGCTAAGACTTGTCCCTCTCCCAAAAAGGCCCCATCCTCCACAGAGGTCCCTGTTCCCCCAGCTGTGACTCCCTCCCCTAAAGAGCCCCCAAAAACGTTAGCCCTCAAAGAGGTCCCAGCTACCCCATCTACCAAAGAGGACTCTCCTCCCCCAGCAGTGACAATTCCCTCCTCCAAAAAGGCCCCATCCCCCAAAAAGGTCTCCACGCCCCCAGCTGTGACACCTTCATCTCCCAAAGAGGTCTCAGTTACCCCATCTCCCAAAGGGACCTCCACTCCCCCTGTTGCAACTCTGCCCTCCCCCAAAAAGGCCTCAGCCCCAAAAGGAGGCCCGGCTGCCCCACCCCACAAAGAGGCTCCCTTGCCCCCAGCTGTGACACCTCCCTCCCCTAAAGGAGGCCCGATTTCCCCATCCCCTAAAGGGACCCCTATGTCTCCAGCTGTGACACCCCCATCTCCCAAAGAGTCCCCCGTTCCCCTGGTTGCATCTCTACCCTCTCCGGAAAAGGCCTCAGCCCCCAAAGGAGGCCCAGCTACCCCACCCCCCAAAGAAGTTCCCATGCCGTCAGCTGTAGCACCTCCCTCCCCCAAAGAAGTCCCAACTACCCCATCCCCCAAAGAGTCCCCCACTCCCCCAGTTGCAACTCTTCCCTCTCCCAAAAAGGCCTCAGCCTCTAAAGGAGGCCCAACTACCCCACCCACCAAAGAGACCCCCGTGCCCCCAGCAGTAACACCTCCCTCCCCCAAAGAGTCCCCTGTTCCCCCAGTTGTAACTCTTCCCTCCCCAAAAAGGGCCTCAGCCCCCAAAGGAGGCCCAACTACCCCACCCCCAAAAGAGACCCCCGTGCCCCCAGCAGTAACACCTCCCTCCCCCAAAGAGTCCCCTGTTCCCCCAGTTGTAACTCTTCCCTCCCCAAAAAGGGCCTCAGCCCCCAAAGGAGGCCCAACTACCCCACCCCCAAAAGAGGCCCCCGTGCCCCCAGCGGTAACCCCTCCCTCCCCCAAAGAGTCTCCTGTTCCCCCAGTTGCATCTCTTCCCTCTCCAAAAAAGGCCTCAGCCCCCAAAGGAGGCCCAGCTACTCCACCCCCCAGAGAGGCCCCTGTGCCCCCAGCGGTAACCCCTCCCTCCCCCAAAGAGTCCCCTGTTCCCCCAGTTGCAACTCCTCCCTCTCCGAAAAAGGCCTCAGCCCCCAAAGAGGCTCCCTTGCCCCCAGCTGTAGCACCTCCCTCCCCCAAAGAGTCCCCCACTCCCCCAGTTGCAACTCTTCCCTCTCCAAAAAAGGCCTCAGCCCCCAAAGGAGGCCCAGCTGCCTCAGCCCTTAAAGGGACTCCTATATCTCCAGCTGTGACACCTCCCTCCCCCAAAGAAGTCCCAACTACCCCATCCCCCAAAGAGTCCCCCACTCCCCCAGTTGCAACTCTTCCCTCTCCCAAAAAGGCCTCAGCCCCAAAAGGAGGCCCCACTACCCCACCCCTCAAAGAGGCCCCCGTGACCCCAGCTGTGACACCTCCCTCCCCCAAAGAGGGCCCAGCTATTCCAGCCCCCAAAAAGGCCCCAGCCCCTAAAGGAGGCCCAGCTGCCCTATCCCCTAAAGGGACCCCCACTTCTCCAGCTGTGGCACCCCCGTCTCCCAAAGAGGCCCCCCCTCCCCAAGCTGCAATTACTCCCACCTCCAAAAAGGCTCCATCCTTCAAAGGAAGCCCAGTTACCCAACCCCCTAAAGAAGTCCCAACAACTTTAGCCCCTAAAGAGGTCCCCACTCCCCCAGCTGCAACTCCTTCCTCCCCAAAAAAGGCCCCAGCCCTCAAAGAGGCCCCTATTTCCCCAGCTGTGGCACCTCCCTCCCCCAAAGAGGCCCCAACTACCCTATCCCCCAAAGGGGCCTCTACTTCCCCAGATGCTACTCTCCCCTCCCCCAAAAAAGCCCCAGCCACCAAACCAAACCCACCTACATCACCTAAAGGGGTTCCCACTCCCCCAGCTACAACTGTTCCCTCCCTCAAAAAGGCTCCATCCTCTAAAAAGGCCTCTACTACCCCAGTTGAGACACCTCCAGCCCCTAAAGGGGCCCTGACTCCTGCCACTTCTCCCCCAAAAAAGGTCCCGACCCCCAAAGCAGATCCAGCTACGCCATCACCCAAAGAATCTTCCACTTGCCCAGTCATGACTCCACTTCCACCCAAAGAGGCTTCCACGCCTCCAGTTGCAGCTCCTTCCTCTCCCAAAAAGATGGTCGCCACTCCAGCCCACAAAGGCGTCCCAGCTGCTCCACCCTCCAAAGAGGCTCCCATATCCCCAGCTGCAACACCTCCCTCCCCGCAAAAGGCCAGAGCCACTTCAGCACCCAAAGGTGGCCCAGCAACCCCATCCTCCAAAGGAGCCCCGGCTGCCCCATCCCATAAAGAAATTCCCAGTCCTCTACCTGTGACTCCTGTCTCTCTCAAAGGCTCCTCTAGTTCCCCAGTGTCAGTCAAAAGTACCTCTGAGGCCATTGCCCCTCAGGCCTCTGAAGGGCTACCAGCTCTCAAAGAAGTACTTGTTGCTCCAGCTCCAGAAAGTGCACCCGTCGTGACAGCTCCCACTCAGAAAGGTCCACCACCCAAGAAGAGTTCTGCTACTTCAGCTCCTGTGTGCTTGGATCCTTCAGCTAAGACTGATACTAAAGGACCTGTTTCAGCATTGGCTACAGCCCCTCTACAGACAGTCCCCATTCACAAAGACTCTGCAAAGGCTGCAAAAGTGGTCCCTGTTTCTCCTGTGAAAGGCAAAGATTCTTTTCATTCCCCAAAGGGTCCCTTGGCTCCTCCCCCTGAGTCTGAGACATCTCCCCCTCCAGCAGCAGCTGCCTCTGAGAAGGGCCTTCCTAAAGCTGGATCAGCATCTGTCTCTCCAGCATCCACCCCACCAGTCTCTCTGCCTCTTGCTCCCTCCCCAGTTCCCCCTCTGCTTCCTAAACAGCAATTTCTGCCGTCCTCACCTGGGCTGGTGCTGGAATCACCCCCTAAGCCCGCAGCCCCTGCTGATGAGGATGAGCTGCCGCCTCTGATCCCCCCGGAACCAATCTCTGGGGGAGTGCCTTTCCAGTCGGTCCTCGTCAACATGCCCACCCCTAAACCTGCTGGGATCCCTGCCCCAACCCCCTCTGCCAAGCAGCCTGTTCTGAAGAACAACAAGGGTATTTGCCTTGGTTTGCCGTGTGCATGGTGTGTTGCCCACACCCCTCTTGGGGGCTACCCACCAGTACTAACCCTAGGATGCGCCGCTTTCTCCAGTGTATCTGCTTGTGTTTAGACGTAGAACATAGAGTGATAATTCTAAATGCAAAAGCTCTAGGAATGAGAGATTGAATCTTGGTGTTCATCACCTCAGGTAGTTTGGTATGGTCCAGAATAAACCCTTGGTCTGCCATCTATTTTACCTACCTGATGTGACATTGAAAACCAAGACCTTGCAGACTTTGATTTGCTCTAATCCCTATCACATCACTAACCTTGTCCCTGGGCCTGGGATTTGCTAACTATTGGGGAATCTGAAGTTAATGTCAACTTCTTTTCACTTCTTAGTAATGACCAGTTGCCCAGGAACTCCCTTTTCTTTAAAATGTAGAGACCTGTTTTTTATAGCCTCAGAATGGTGCAGATGTACGCTTTTTTCCCTCAGTAGTCTTTATTGATGCTTGGCCTTTCAATGAAGAGAAACTTAATGTGTTTGGAAGAAATGGAGGAAGTCATAGGACAGTATCTAATAGAGAAAATGACTTATTGGATCTGTAAGTTGCCACTGAGAATCTTCCAGCTATGCTGACTGAATCAAATCACTATGATGGATGGCTTGAAAATAAGGCTGAATGTGTGTACACAACTGCTTCTGGCCTCCTCCAACCCAGTTTAAAGGATGCAGGGAAAGCACCCTGCTTTTTCTGCCTCTACAGTGTAATTCTATTGTTTTCCACTTAAGTATATATGGAGATACCTTCTACCAGAACTTTTCCAGGATTGTTGTGCTATTGGGTACAATTGGAGTTAATGGGTCATTGGTGTTTATTTGTGCCAAGAAATAAAGACCTCAAGGGAAAGAAAGCAGTTATAGTGCATAAACTGCTCGGCTATATCTAGTGATTACCTCTCGTTTCTGGGACTAGGACTTTAATAGATATGTACACACTACTTTATGACCGAGTTCGAGGCTCTCAAGCTGGCCTCACACAAACCAGTTGGCTTACAAATGTTTAACTTTGTCAGGTCTAGCATAGAGCAGTGACCTGTAGTCTAGATAGGCCGTGGTGAGGTACCTCCTCCTTACCATCTGTACTATGAAATGTAAAAGTTGTTTGTTGTCTTAGGGTCTGGAACAGAATCTGACAGTGATGAATCAGTGCCAGAGCTTGAGGAACAAGATTCCACACAGGCAACCACGCAGCAGGCTCAGGTAGGTATTCTAGTGGTATGTGTCCTTGAATCATGGGAGCATTGGACAGTCAGAGTTGATCACAGATGACTTTTGTATTGGAGACTTGTGAACTTTAATAAAGGGAAAGCCCTGTGGAACATGTGGTATCTAGATCTTAGTTTCATTTAACTCAAAGCTGTTTTATCTTAGCTGGCCGCCGCAGCTGAAATCGATGAAGAACCAGTCAGTAAAGCAAAACAGAGTCGGAGTGAAAAGAAGGCACGGAAGGTAAAACTGAGTGATACGCAAGGATAAAATGGATCTGTAGTAGAACCCTTGGTAGCAGTAGAATCTTCCTTAGTTAAATTAATGTCATATAGGCCGGCGCCGCGGCTCACTAGGCTAATCCTCCGCCTAGCGGCGCCGGCACACCGGGTTCTAGTCCCGGTCGGGGCGCCGGATTCTGTCCCGGTTGCCCCTCTTCCAGGCCAGCCCTCTGCTGTGGCCCGGGAGTGCAGTGGAGGATGGCCCAAGTGCTTGGGCCCTGCACCCCATGGGAGACCAGGAAAAGCACCTGGCTCCTGGCTCCTGCCACCGGATCAGTGCGGTGCGCCGGCCGCAGCGCGCTGGCCGCGGCGGCCATTGGAGGGTGAACCAACGGCAAAGGAAGACCTTTCTCTCTGTCTCTCTCTCTCTCACTGTCCACTCTGCCTGTCCAAAAATACAAAAAAAAATAAAAATAAAAAAATAAAAATAAAAAAAAAATTAATGTCATATAAAAGCCACTATTGGAGAAAGCCCAGGAATCCTGAAAAACGATTCTCTATTATTGTATAAACTTTTAACCTGGGAAAAGACTTTGCTTTGGGTGTTGTATTACTGTGTTCCTTGCTTCCTGGAGCTACTTCTAAGAAGTTGAAACCTGATGTTCTTTTCTGTTCTGTAGGCCATGTCCAAACTGGGTCTTCGACAGGTTACAGGGGTTACTAGAGTCACTATCCGGAAATCTAAGAATATCCTCTTTGTCATCACAAAACCAGATGTCTACAAGAGCCCAGCCTCAGATACCTACATAGTTTTTGGGGAAGCCAAGGTGAGTACAGTTTTCTGTGGATTACTCTAGATCAGGGTTTTCAACCTCGACTACTGACATTGTGAATCAGATAGTTCTTTGTGGTGGAAGGGCCATTCATCCTGTACATCTTAGACATTTAGCAGCATTGTATCCAGTTGTGATAACCAAGAAATTGCCCAGACATTGTCAGCTGTTCTTTGGAGGCATTATCACCCTTCTTTGAGAACCACTTCTCTTTGTACAATGATACATAGGCTGAGTGAGGGGGAAGCAGTTAAAGCTATTTAGTAAGTGGGTGTAGACTGAGGGTTTTGAGGGACTTTGATTTCTCTCTCTCTTTAATTCTGGCTTTCAAATAAATAAATAGGAGCCAGCACTATGGTGTAGTAGGTTGAACCTTTGCCTATAGTGCAGGTATCTTACATGGGCATGGATTCAAGTCCCAATGATGACTTGGGAAAGCAGTGAAAGTTGGCCTAATGCTTGGGTCTCTGCACCCACCTGGGAGACCTAGAAGAATTTCTTAAAAAAAGAATGAGGATTTTGAGAATACATACATGATTTTTTATTTCATGCACACTAATTACTTCAATTCCTGTATTCTCTGCCCTATAGATTGAGGACTTATCTCAGCAAGCACAGCTGGCAGCAGCTGAGAAATTCAAAGTTCAAGGTGAAGCTGTCTCAAACATTCAGGAAAACACACAGACTCCAACCGTACAGGAGGAGAGTGAAGAGGAAGAGGTATACCAGGAAATGTCTTACACTTTGAATCCTCTCAATAGCAGTGTTTGTGTTGGCGGATAAAGACTTTACTGTTTCAGGCCAGAGGCAACTGCTGTCAGGACTTGAAATTGAGCAAATCTTTAACAAGCTAATTTGTAAATTGAAAATTTGAAGCCGGCGCCGTGGCTCAATAGGCTAATCCTCCACCTTGCGGCGCCGGCACACCGGGTTCTAGTCCCGGTTGGGGCGCCGGATTCTGTCCCGGTTGCCCCTCTTCCAGGCCAGCTCTCTGCTATGGCCAGGGAGTGCAGTGGAGGATGGCCCAGGTGCTTGGGCCCTGCACCCCATGGGAGACCAGGAAAAGCACCTGGCTCCTGGCTCCTGCCAGGATCAGCGCGGTGCGCCGGCTGCAGCGGCGGCCATTGGAGGGTGAACCAACGGCAAAAGGAAGACCTTTCTCTCTCTGTCTCTCTCTCTCACTGTCCACTCTGCCTGTCAAAAAAAAAAAAAAAAAAAAAAAATTTGGTGCAGCCTGTAAGTGATATTATAAATATGCAAATGGCCCTGCTTGAGGCACTCAGCTTGCATTGAGTTGAGTGGCTTTTGAATTATATTATCTAGATTTAAGAAACTAACTCCAAAGAACTACTGAAGTTACTCTTGCCCTCTCCTTTCAGGTCGATGAGACGGGTGTGGAAGTTAAGGATATCGAGTTGGTCATGTCACAAGCAAATGTGTCAAGAGCAAAGGCAGTCCGAGCCCTGAAGAACAACAGTAATGATATTGTAAATGCTATTATGGTGAGTGTCCAAGCCCTCTGCCCTGACCAATTAAGAGTGGCATCATTTTTTCTCTGCTTAATATCAGCCACTTAAGAAGCCTCATCCCAAAGCCTCTTCTGAGTTGCCTTAGGTTTTAGTGACCTGGATTTGCCCATGCTGTCTATAACTACCTCTAACTATCTTTTTTTTTTTTTTTTTTCCCTCTTACAGGAATTAACAATGTAACCATCTGAAAAACAAGGATCTTTTTTGGTGTTTCAAAGAGTAACTGCAGCTTGGTTTGAAATTTGTACTGTTTCTATCATTAATAAAGTTATGGCTTCTTGTTGGATGAACTCAGTAGGTGCTTGGTCTCTTCCCCCAAGAAAAACCAGGAAGCTTCTTATTTGGTGCGGTCTTTAAGATGCAGTTTGGAAAACCACATCCCATTGTCAGTGTGCTTAATTTTAGTAGCAGCTACACTACTTTTGATCCAGCTTCCTGCTAAGGCACACCCTACGAGGCAGCAGATAATAGCTCAAATTGTTTGTTCCCTAACACCCCCATGATTTCAAGCTTCTCTCCCTTTCAAATAAAATGAAAATAAGCAAATTTTTTGTTAAAATCTCAGTCTTTTCACCCTTTGTAAGAAGTTTTTCAAGATTTATTGTATTTATTTGAATGGCAGAGAGAGAGAGAGGTCTAACATCCAATTCCCTAAATGGCCACAATAGCCAGGGATGGGCCAGGCTGACGTTAGGGGACAA